AAATAATATTTCGCACTTGTGGACAGAATCTGAATGTAATGGGTCAATAATACTAATTTTAAGAGATTTTTGACTATATTATGACTCATATCAGCTTGACCAGAAGTGGGATAATGCCTTTAAAATCTACAATTAATGGAATCTTAAGATTTCTTGTCAGTTGGTGATAGTGAATAATATTTCACACTTGTGGACAGAATCTGACTGTAATGGGTCAATATTTCTAATTTTAAGATATTTTTGACTATATTATGACTCATATCAGCTTGACCAGAAGTGGGATAATGCCTTTAAAATCTACATTTAATGGAATTTTAAGATTTCTTGTCGGTTGGTGATAGTAAATAATATTTCACACTTGTGGACAGAATCTTTATCTAATGGATCAATATTTCTAATTTTAAGAGATTTTTGACTATATTATGACTCATATCAGCTTGACCAGAAGTGGGATAATGCCTTTAAAATCCACAATTAATGGAATCTTAAGATTTCTTGTCGGTTGATGATAGTAAATAATATTTCACACTTGTGGACAGAATCTTTATGTAATGGGTCAATATTTCTAATTTTAAGAGATTTTTGACTATATTATGACTCGTATCAACTTGACCAAAAGTGGAATAATGCCTTTCAAAATCTACAATTAATGGAATCTTAAGATTTCTTGTCGGTTGATGATAGTAAATAACATTTCAAACCTATGAACAAAGGTCTGAATGTAATGGGTCAATATTTCTAATTTTAAGAGATTTTTGACTATATTATGACTCATATCAGCTTGACCAGAAGTGGGATAATGCCTTTAAAATCTACAATTAATGGAATCTTAAGATTTCTTCTCGGTTGATGATAGTAAATAATATTTCGCACTTGTGGACAGAATCTGAATGTAATGGGTCAATAATACTAATTTTAAGAGATTTTTGACTATATTATGACTCATATCAGCTTGACCAGAAGTGGGATAATGACTTTAAAATCTACAATTAATGGAATCTTAAGATTTCTTGTCAGTTGGTGATAGTGAATAATATTTCACACTTGTGGACAGAATCTTTATGTAATGGGTCAATATTTCTAATTTTAAGATATTTTTGACTATATTATGACTCATATCAGCTTGACCAGAAGTGGGATAATGCCTTTAAAATCTACATTTAATGGAATTTTAAGATTTCTTGTCGGTTGGTGATAGTAAATAATAATTCACACTTGTGGACAGAATCTTTATGTAATGGGTCAATATTTCTAATTTTAAGAGATTTTTGACTATATTATGACTCATATCAGCTTGACCAGAAGTGGGATAATGCCTTTAAAATCCACAATTAATGGAATATTAAGATTTCTTGTCGGTTGATGATAGTAAATAATATTTCGCACTTGTGGACAGAATCTGAATGTAATGGGTCAATAGTTCTAATTTTAAGAGATTTTTGACTATATTATGACTCATATCAGCTTGACCAGAAGTGGGATAATGCCTTTAAAATCTACATTTAATGGAATTTTAAGATTTCTTGTCGCTTGATGATAGTAAATAATATTTCGCACTTGTGAGCAGAATCTTTATGTAATGGGTCAATATTTCTAATTTTAAGAGATTTTTGACTATATTATGACTCGTATCACCTTGACCAAAAGTGGAATAATGCCTTTCAAAATCTACAATTAATGGAATCTTAAGATTTCTTGTCGGTTGATGATAGTAAATAACATTTCAAACCTATGAACAAAGGTCTGAATTTAATGGGTCAATAATACTAATTTTAAGAGATTTTTTACTATTTTATGACTCATATCAGCTTGGCCAGAAGTGGAATAATGCCTTTAAAATCTACATTTAATGGAATTTTAAGATTTCTTGTCGGTTGATGATAGTAAATAATATTTCGCACTTATGAGCAGACTCTTAATGTAATGGGTCAATACTGCTATTTAAAAGAGACCTTTTACTATATAATCACTCATGTCCCTTTGACCAGAAATGGGATAGCCCTTTCACATGTACAAATAATGGAATACTTGTAGCTGATTTTTATTAATTATCGATTAGATATTTACCCTTGTATTACTGTAATCAAACCATGCAGAAGCGGCATAACACCTTTAAAATTTATTAACTGTTGAATATTTATAATTAATTTTAGCTTTTGAAAGTGATTAGGACCACAAACTTAGCAAATATTGAGGGAGGTCATGAGTGGTACTTTTATAGGGAATATTATACCAGTAAGTGTGTTACACAAGGAGTGTCAGAATTCAGAAATTCTTGTATTTACCGAGTGAGGGTGAAGGTAATACATGGATTCTTACATGAGTTTTGTAAAACAGAATATGTACTGTGTTTATCCACGTTTATCCACGTAAAGCCAATCGCCAAGCACGGGTACTATCTTATTCCGTGTATTTTACCTTACCTTCCGCTGTCAGGGGTGCGATTGGTTAGCCTATTGGTGAAAGCGTTCGCTCGTCACGTCGAAGGCCCGGGTTCGATTCCCATCATGTGTTCAATGAGTAAACCCTATTTCTGGTGTCCCGTGCCATGATACTCCAGGAATGCTGCTAAAAGCAGTGTAAATACATATTCACCCACTTACTCACTCCTTATGCAGACGTCTATCCACTAGACCACTCAGGCAGTTGATTTCGTGTAGAAGTGGTCCCCAGCAACACATGCTTAATTTTAATTGTCTTACTAGGTGACTTCATGGATCGGAGGTTCAACGTCCTCCGACGTGCTGGATGTTTGCTTATAATATCAATCACTATTTTGCTCTCTGCCCATGTGGACCAACATTTTACTGCAAGAACCAGTAACAGCAAAGCTGACCATGCAGGTAATATTCCCATGATCGGATGGGGAGTCCGGCTTAGAATCGTATAATAAGAGGCGACTAACGAGCCTCGGGTAGTCAGGTTCGTTATTTGGTTGATTGCGAGACATCGTACATGTCGGCGTGGGACGTTGTTCATACTTAAACCAATCGTTTATTTACATGTATTTATATCGGGGTACATGACACACAATTAACGAAGTCACTATACAAGCATGCCCACCCGGTCCATCGATTGTGGTGCCCGTGAAGACCCGGGGTAGAATAGGTCTTTTCAGCAATCCATGCTTGCCCTAAAAGTCGACTATGCTTCTCGTAAAAGGCAACTAACGGGATCGGGTGTTCTGGCTCACTGACTTGGTTGATGCATGTCATCGTATCCCAAATGCATGGATCGTTGCTCATGATGTCTGTCACTGGATTGTCCGTGTTGTCTGGTCCAGACTCGATTATTTACAGACCGCCGTCATATAGCTGGAATATTGCTCAGTGCGGCGTTAAACAACCAACCAACCAACCAACCATCGATTGTCGCCTAACATGACAAGCGAAGCGGTGGGTATATTTTAAGCAATGCCCAACATAGACATACACAATGCACTGTCCATGGATCATCGTGATTTTAGGCTAGATATATAAATATATTATTTCGACTTGCTTCAATATATCTTTCCTTTATTTCAAATCGAAGCTGCCTGGTTCCTAAAACACTATGGAGTAACTATATACTCCTTTCTGTTAGGTCTGGATTACCGGTGCATGCATGCATGAGGAGTCATATCCGTCTTACCGCTTATATCTGTTAGTTATACATTTATATTTATACATTTATTATAAATTTGCACACCAAACTTCTGAGCTCGCATTACCTGCATCATGTATATGTGATAGGGTTAAGTTAAGGAGGTATTTGAGGTTACCACTAACTTGTATATGTGGGTAGAATGCCATTCTGAAACAATCGTCAATATCCAGCTTGCATACTTCTTAGCATGTTTCAAAGCTTACATTGGTCTGCATCTACAGCTTTCTGAAGTATGTATAATATAATACATCCGATACAAACCCTCTATCGTTATCTATCGTTCTGAGTGATGTATAGTTTATATCCGATATACAAACTCCCCCGCGTCTTTCATTTATAATGATGTATATAACATGTCTGACACCCCGCGTTTCATTCTGAGTAATGTATATTTTATGTCCGATGTACCTGTGTACTTTCCCGTAACTTTGTAAAGAGGAATGATAAAACACTTTCATCTTGTGTAATTTTCGCCTCAATCTTCTGGCAAACCATATACAATTAACCCATCGAACTAATTAAAAGAAGTGGAAAGAGCTTGTCTAAATGCAGAGGCAAGTGAAATAATTGTTTTGAAATTATATAAATATGATTTCTCACATCTACTCATGTGTGAATTACAAGGATTCCCTTCAGCACAGTTACATTAAATAAATTAATGAGGATACATGTTTTGCATTTCTATTCACATCGTGGGATTGGAGGAGAACGCACGTTAATTTGGGCCACAAACAACAGAATTACGGAAAATTGTTTACAGTTACAAACAAAACAAAATCTAAATGGAATGCATAATGTGTCGAGGCTCTTTTATTTAACGGCCACAATCCGAAATATTTCAGAAACCCCTCAAGCACCGCCTTTACTTTTTTAATATGGACGATTCCATTCCATTCTATATACTATTGTGACCACAATGTGATGTAGAAACACAACCTTGATTTCAATTATTGATCTAATTATAACATAATTTGTTAAAAGAAATATCGCACAGACACTGACATTTGTGCATAAATGTGAATTGCCGCACAGAAAGGCGTGTGAATATTTGTCAAGTACAAAATAACAAAATAATAATAATACCTGAAGATGTTTCCAATTTATAGTGAAGAATGTAATGTGCGTTATTTATTTGGAATGGGACATGGAAATATACAGAAGATCATATTCAGTACGGTCCCACCCAAAATATAAACTAAATCATATTCCGCATATATATCGCCATGTGTTTTAGAGCTAACCGAAAGCATTACCGCAGTAAATGGGGTTTTGCGAAATTGTGGACTGTTTATCCCAGTTCTGGTCGTATCCCAGTTCTGGTCGCTACAGACGTCTAGTGTCGATTGCCAGATCCTTTTATACACCGACATTCGTCACTACTCGGCTCTTTCCGTAAGCTATCGACAATACGGGTTCGTGTGCAATGCTCCGGTTCGAGAGTCCGCGTCATTGTGGGTGTGATATTGTGGAGTACAACAACCTATATTTGAGTTATTCGTATCCAGGTAAGATTCTTGTAGAACTATGTGGTTCAATTTGAATTCATTTGTAATGTCGAAGTATTGTATTTTACGAGAGTTTCAATCAAACAAACACACCAAGAGAGTGTAGAGTGTCATTGGGTGAGGCTTGATACAGTGTGCTGGTGCTATATATAACTCGATCTTCACTACTGCCTGTTTGTTTAAATTCACGGTTTAATATTTGATACCCATTCCTGTTGAAAACGTGATTTAAGGCCATATACGTTACTATTCTACGTCAATAATTCTAACTCTACCCCATTTCAAATATTACCAACTGTGGTGTGTATAATGATTTATGTAATTATAAGAGAGGTGAAATGGGATTGAACGTCGCGTGAAAGATAATTGCACTTTTATAGCGAAGTGCATGGACCTGTGTGTGTTGCTGCTCGTACTAGTCCGGAGATACCATGCCGCAGTTTAACATGAATACGCCACTCAGGCACAGTATACTGACTCCGGGCCGACAAGTCCTTGTTTTAGCCCCTTAATGCCGACAGGGTAACAACAAGTACTATCTTTTGACGTCTTTTGGTATGACGCGGCCGGGGATCGAACCCCGGACCTTCCGCTCTCCGGGCGGACGCTCTACCACTAGACCACGGAGGCGGTCTATATCATTATAAAACAAATACATTTATTTTTGACTTTATTGCCGTTGTATAAGCTTTTAGCGCTGGTATGGTTACTTTCTTCACTGGTCGGCTGTCGGTTTGACAATCAATACTCACAATGGGGTAGATGGTCTTCCTGGTTCAAGGGATAAGCAGTGACATGTTTATTTGTAAACATTTATCCTCATGAAATTAGAGACCTTTTGAAATAGTAAGGACATATGACAACAAACATTTCTAGTCTTTCGTATCCCCATGACACCTCATACACTTTTTCACTACTACAAATACGAAGTTAACACTTTATTTTAGCTAGGCCACAAACTGTACATCTTAACATTGCGTCTTTTATGGTTAAAGCTTAGTCAGTGAGAGCAATGCGAGCGTAGAACAAAGAGGGAAAATGGCAATGTGCAAGTATTTATTAGTAAACGTTTACATCATTCTGTAGCCAGTATGATGTACAATACGATGGCCGAGAAAAACAGTGTGAAATGTAAACTTAGCGCTGTTGCGCTCTACCAAAAGTACATATTTTGAGGTAACACCCCAAACGAACCTTGAAAGCCCTGACGAAGAAACATGGGTTAATAAGCACAGCCGGCTGGTCCTGCAAGCCGATTGGTTATTACCTTCCGGGTCCAGAATAAACGCGATCGTCTCATTAGTTTTGGGTAGACCTGTCTTGTATATATAATACCGGTATGGATTCCATATATTTCAAAAGTATCGCTAGGCGATTAGTGTCAAGTAACCTTAATTTAGCTTCGTAAAATATTTCCTTTTCAATTTTAGTGGCGCGGGCAACATGCCGATACAAATATAAACATCGATTGATGTTTGCAGCTAATTAGCGTTATTTAACCAGAACTTTGTTTTTGTCACCTTCAGTAACTCATCTCACAACAGCTGCTTGCACCTGCAGTAGATTATTCATAATGTATGCCGGCAGTCAGTCCTGGTATCATAAAACACTCAGCCACGTCTGTAGTGTAGTGTAACACGTTAGAAGTCCAAGTTCAAGTTCTTTAGTCGCCAAAACCCATCAACGGGGTACATGGCAGTATACTGCAGCTACCGTATCCAGTTATAAAAAACCAACACGAACACGAACTCATGAGTCTATGACATGTCTCTTCATCTTTATAGTAGTACTAATTCACTATTTCATGACTGCAACAGGATATTGTGATTTGGAGAAAATACATTAAACAAACGATCCAATCTCTTTTGCAATCACAATTTTGCGTCCATGTTGGGGATCATCCTGGTTATTTTCGTCACTATTGTCGGTCACAGGGTCAGACATATAGGGGCTCACTTGTACTTCTTCCTCAGAAATCACCAGATCATCTTCTGAGAAACACTCACATTCCATGGTTACTCGAAAACTATTGTTACTTTTGTTACTGTCAGAGTTGAACATATCGCCAAGTATGATCGATTTGAGCTCACGATACCGCAAACATGAACGAAATAAATACGATCGATGCTTCATCATTTAACACACATATCTGCGAATATTTTAAACAATATAAATGAAAGTACCGGACCACTAACAATAAACGCAATTGAACCCATAAACATGTTTCGCATATCTTTTGCTCACCGAATAGTGAACTAAATTTGTTATATAAATGACCTTTGTCACACTTTCGTTATTGAAAGAAACAAGGAAATGTATGTTTCTCCTTTCAGCCCTCCCATACGAAGGAAATTACAGTGTACAAATGTTCATTATGAAATTGTGGGTAGGAGAATATTCAAGAGTTGAAAAGGGTAAACTAGGTCGACTAACGGGATTTGGGTGGTCAGGCTCCCATGCTCATGATCTCAATCACTGGATTGTCTGGCCCAGATTCGACTATTTACAGACCGCCGTTAACAAACAAACAAACCTTTTTTTCTTATTTAATTGTGGTGGTGGTGATGAGAAACTCCGAGACCTGGATCTGCGAATGTAAACAAACGAAAGACAATACTGATAGTTCATGTTTTAAGATTGTTTATTTTGTGGTAATGGCATAATCAAACAATACAATACAATACAATACAATACAATACAATACAATACAATACACCCAACATGACCATATATGGAGTTATATACACCGATAAGACTTGCACTTTAAAATTACCAACACAACGGGAATGCAGTGAACGAAGCTGAAGCTGCGGGTGCATTAAAACAGACACGCATAATATATCAACATCAACACTTATTTTTGTTCGTTACCACTACAAAATAATTCACATTGCTTGAAGCTATAAATACACACAACTCAACACGGTATTTCTCGGGAACGATGTGTCTGTTATCTCTTTCACAGGATATAATATGTTGGCCTGCATTTAGGAGACCAACATTGCCAACTGTATTAAGTAATCTACTTTGGAGATTAACTCTAAAGGTACATCTAAAAAGGCATAATTTGTTTTCTAAATTTTAAGACTGTCAGTTTCCATCGCACTGACTTTAAAATACCATTGTTTACTAAGATCTAGATCGAACCTTTAAATGTATATTTATTTGGAACATGTTTATTTCTTATATATTTCGAACAGTCACAGCCGTATTGAAAATATAATCCAATTAGGATTTGATTCAAAGGTACATCATTACGTACTGTGGTTAATGATTGGGTTTGATACATAGTCAATATCACTGTCAACAATCATAATTGTATGACGACTTTAATTATTCGACAATGATTCCGATCCTACCTATCCCGTAGACATTAGTTGTATGGTCAAACTACTGCAATTATTAAACTTAAAAAGCGAAAAACCAAAAAGCCCTTTTCTAAAATATGTAACGGAATTCAATTTATTTCTGACCGAAAAATGATATAACAATCCTTTATCTTTATTATGCTATGGAGCAACCATAAATCCTGGTTCTTGTTGAGTTGGTTTGTTTGTTGTTTAACGCCGCAATCAGCATTATTCGAGCTATATGACGCCAGTCTGTAAATAATCCAGTCTGGACCAGACATTCCAGTGATTAATATCATGAGCATCGATCCACGCAATTGGAATCGATGGCATGCATCAACCAAGTCAGCGAGCCTGACCACCCTCTTATGACAAGCATAGTCGCCTTTTACGGCTAGCATGGGTTGCTGAAGACATTTTCTACCCCGGATCTTTACGGGTCTCTTGTTTAGTAAGACGCATCAACCACTATCATAACCCTCACTCGTCCTCCACTCCGTGTCCACCCTCTAGATTACTGCAACCCTAAACATACACATATAATGTAGCTGACATTATTCATTTCAACAAATTTATATCTTCCACAGTGAAAACTGGAGCTGCCTGAACCCTGATTGTCTGAAACAGACATCATGGCACCAAGAAGCGATGCCGAAGACCTCACTCTGTCCGGAAAAGCAGATACTTCTGACTCTGGAATCATCCATGAAAGAATTGAAGACATACTCACGGAAAGACCTGGTACAAGGAGGCAGTTGTTGCTCATAACTGGTTACAATGAACACATATTTGACACACATCGACATAGCAAGGATCTGTATTCAGATACGTATGTAGATCACATGCCAACAAAAGAATGTGGAGTGAGATATTTTTTGTCAGACGCATGTACTGCTAGGAGTTATTTGGAACAAGATTCGACGGGGGAGTCAGTTAATTTAAAACAAAGAGCAGCTAGCGAGGCTCAACCTTGTCCTGAAACCCCAAAAGAAAAGGCCCATGAACGCAGTAAAGGAGAACAGAAGTCATATGAAAATAAATATCAATGTCATAAAGGTACCACAAACGAACGAGTTATTCGCAATTCTTTCTCTTCAAATCCTATTGCTGAGCTGCGTGATCAAAAGGAAATTATGAACCCATCTGTTCATTCAACCAAACATTACAAAGCTCCTATTCTTGAAACGACTGATATGAATGCATTAACATCGTTATCGTTGTGTGGCAGGAATACATTAGACACTCAAATCAGTGTTAAAGAGGAACGTGCAGACAAACTTCAGCATTCTGAAGAGAAAAAGAAATATCTGTTGGATGCAGTTCACAACGCTGTGCGTGGTGTTCCCGGTGACACTTCTGACATGGACCAGCCCTCACTGGATGAAAGATATAAAGAATTTATTAAAGATTTGAAATATGGGTCATTTTATTGTATGTTAGAAAGATCATATGTTACGACACCTTTTATTTCTCTTCATGATTATTTCACTGAAAGAGCAACAAATGAAGCAACAGCACCTGATGAAGAAATGAGGTTTGAAGGTTTGCGTTTGAGGTCTTTTCACCAAGTGAACATGAACGTCTCATATCTTCGACTGGCAGCAGCAGGGTTCTATGCTACAGGTAATGGCGATGAGACTCGATGTTTCAGTTGTGGTGTAACGCACAGGAATTGGCTTCCGAAGGACAACCCCCATAACCTGCATTCCAGGAAGTCTCCAAACTGCATCCATGTAACTGGCACTGATGCAAGAAATGTGCCTATTCAAATGCCAGCAGTAATCGATGGAAGTCATGCGCCACAAGTCAGAAACAGGAGTACTCCAGAGACGAGAGTTTCAGAGAGAGACTCTAACGGGAGTGTCCCTTCTGAACTACTAGGCGCAGTGGGGACATCAAGGGACAGTTTTAGTCCACCATCGTATACAACTCAACAATCAGGAATAAATTGCAATGACTATATACCAGCATCAATACCAACAACAAGGTTTGACAGTGCTGTTCATCCTCATTACAGCAACAATGCTCTCCGTCTTCAATCATTCCAGCTGTGGCCGGAAGGGCACAGTCAACAACCTGAAGACCTTGTAAACGCGGGTTTTTTCTATGCAGGTAAGTGTATAGTGACAAAACGAAGGACATGTTTGGTCTGATTGTTTGTAAGTACTATAATAATGTATGATACCTATGTACAGGTTACTCTGACTGTGTGCGCTGTTATGTCTGCGGTGTTGGTCTGAGGACGTGGGAGGAGGGGGATGACCCCTGGGTGGAGCACGTGCGCTGGAGGTCATCTTGTGCCTATGTAGAAGCCGCAAGAGGGATGACCTTCGTTATTCAGACACTGGCTGCCATTGGAAGGCCCATGCGGGCTAAACCTGTAAGCAGCTTTCTTATTTGTTTGTTTAACGCTGCACTCAGTAATAATCCAGCTATATGACAGCCCACAGCTCTCCCAGATCATACCAGCTAGTGTGTCTTGTGTTGATGGCACAATAAGCGACAAGAACCACAGCAGTTTGTTTTAAATCCTCTGTCTCTCATGGTAGATGCTTATGTGAAATAGAGAATTGAACATGGTAGAGCGTGTTTAAGGATTACAATTTTATTATTTTCAAAGATAGCACTGATACACGTTATGAAATCTTGTAGATGTGGATCTGTTGTTTGATTTCATAAACTTTCAATGTCTATTTATTATAGTCTCATCAACATCAACAACAGTCAATAAATAACGTGAAAACACCGAACAGTTCTGAAGATGGTAAGTTCTAAGCCACAGATTTGTGTCTTATTCATGATATCCGATGTCCAGTTATTGTGTGTTCCTTCCCTTGACACACACACACACACACACTAACAAATACTAATTAACAGTAATTCTATTGTTCTAATTTTCAATTCAAGAATCAGCCTTTCATGATAATTATAACTATTACAGGGCACAATAACCCCTGTCATCAAATGGCACAAACCTTGTTTGTTCCAGATATTATAAGGACTGATGCATGTCAAGAAGCATTGAGGATGGGATTCAGTCCTAAAGAGGTTAGATCTGTAGCTCAAGCAACTATGAGAAATGGAGGTGAGTTTGTAATACTGCTTATGGAGGATCAGGTCTTGTACCTATATCCAATCAAGTCAGTGTAATTTGTGACCTGTGACAAAACCAGTTATCAGAGTAGTAACGGGTTGTTTAAATGCTGTGACCCAAAGAAAATGAGGACTGCAATTTGTCCACGTCTAGCACATGATAAGTTATGTTAGAATATGGAGTCATAAAATTATCCTTGCCTTTACAGGAACACTAGATGTTCTTCTGGAGAATATTCTGGCCATTGATGGAGATGCTTCCGGACAGACTGCATCCGCTCAAGGGGGAGATGAGGTGAGCATCCCTCAGGTTCAGATACAGATTGGAGGAAAGGAATGTGCAGAGGGCAATATGCACAGTCAACCATCAGTTAGCACGCATAAAGAAGTATCAAGAATCCAACAGCAACCTCTGGAGAAAAGACATGCAAATGCAAATCAAGACAGTGGATATATGTCAGATGGAGAACCACAAGACGCCCGGGCACCAACGCAACATGCACCACATTGTGTCGTAACTAGCCCACAGACATCAGAAAGGGCGACTATGGGTTACAATAATCATACGTCTGAAATGATATCCGGAAACATAGTTCCTAGCGACCAAGATGGAAGGGACAATGACTCAAAGGCTGCAGTGAATGGTTTCTTGAATTTGCCAGTTACCAGACAAAGAAAGATTGGACAGAGGATAAATGAACATGGTAAACATTCATATGATTTTTTCTTTTTTAAATGGATGTCGTTGCTCAATATCCACTCTTTATCTAGCTAAACCTATGGCCTGCGCATTTTACAAAGGTACCCTGAATCTTCGTGTCAAAAAAATAATTCATATAACTTTAATGTAACATGAATTATACTTACATAATTATGCAGTGTAAATATAAGTAAAATGATGTTTACAACACTGTCACCCTCAAGTGTAGGACAGGTGAAGATCAACTATTGGTACAGCGATGTGAGATATGTATCATAAATATGTGTTTAAATACATCTCTGTTTGTTAAGAAAGTTTGTGTTGCATGTAGGTTCGCTAACTGGTCCTGATAAATCTAGGCCAGGAATTTATTTAATTGCTTTCTCGATTATATTCACAGAAAAAAACAAGGATAAATTACTGGCTACGAAAAAGGAGACCCAGCAGCTTAAAGAGTCGAGTGTGTGTAAGGTCTGTCTGGAGGACCCTGCCAACATCGTCTTCCTTCCCTGTGGACATCTGGTGGCCTGTGCCGAGTGCACACCTGCTCTAGATCGTTGCCCAGTCTGCAGGACACACATCCGGGGGACTGTCCGTGTCCATCTGGCAGACATGGCTTCTCGAGAGAAAGAAATTGAATAACTCAATGTGAACTGAAATCAAAACCAAAGGATTTTTGCACTTAATTTACGTCGTCTCCATCACCTTTCGGAATGTCTCAACTGCTCACCTGCCATCGAACGTTGTCCAATCTACAGAACCCACATCATATGGCAGAGAGTGTTTCTTAAGTGCAGCTGACACAACCATGTCTACGGGTTGATGATGAAATAACGACAATTCCACCTTTGATCTAGCTATTTTAGTTCTGTTCTTTTTGACGAAGCCATACAGACAGAAATGAAAAAATGTCAATAGATTTGCATGAATAGTGAGCAGAGAAAATAGAATACACTTTGTCTCATATACCACAAAACCCCTTTAGCATATGCATACCTGGTAGTTGTCATTTGACACATGTGGCACCAGGATATGGTGTTAATATTCATATTTTGATTGCTGGAAACAAACTAGGATTGTGAACAGTGTCATCTCTGCTATGTACTTACATTATATGATTTGCTTATCATACAAACAACAAGGGGGTATAAGGCAGCGTGATTCGCTGTACAGAGTTGCGTCCCTTGATTGTTGGGTCGAATTCCGGTTCGCCCCGATTATGTTTCTAGATTTGTCAGTACCATATCCGTGCTCGTGAGTTTCACCAAAATGGTAAACGTCTGAGACCTGCATCACTTCGGGCTTTCCTCCTATATATACAGAATATATATCCTATCCTTTTACATGTACATCTATATTATTTGCTAAACTCAAAGAAGCATAAGTAACATTGGTAGGAGTTGCAGATGCAATATATCAAGACATATGTCTATAATTGCAAAAGTGATGCACAATCGCCAGAGTATTTTTGTCGACTTTAATGAAGTGAATGAAAAGTTTGTCGTTGCTGCAGTGATGTAAATGTGTAAAAGCATAGGCAGCGGTCAAAGGTCAACGAGAGAAAAAATCACAAAACTGGCATTTTGAAAACTTTGTTTGTGTGCTGCTGTGGCGTATGTGTATTTAGATCTTGTCATCAGTGTAATAATTACTGAACTGATATAGCATTGATACATCAGTTATATCTTCACTATATACAAATATACAATATATGTCAACAGATTTACAGATCAGTGACTTCAGTTAATAAGGATACAGGACAGGGTTCAAGTTGCTGTTATTGCTTCAAGCTTCTTTAATGGTATCTGTTAGACCTACTTACGCTGTATAAGTCTAGCTGCTAATTTCTTACTTTAAATCAATCCTTAATTCTTTGTTTTCAGTAATAGCCTCCTACTTTGATCCATTGTGTGATATGAGTGGTCCTAATTGAGTATTGCTAATTTACCTTGTTATAAGTGTTGTATCTTGATTGTTATTTCCTGGTGTTAATAAATCATTTAACTATCATTTATCATTGTCAATGCGTCTTGATGCAAACGGTCTTTTCAACTTCCCCCCCCCCCCCCCCCATAGAGACCCAGGGTAGATAGGAATGTATCCTCAGCACCCCATTGCTGGACGTAAAAGGCGACCGAATTGGGCAACCTGTTTGCTGTGGGCTGCGCCCCATTGTCGGTGAAGAAATAGAGTCTGGTGCTTGAGGGCGCCGGACCCGGCAATAGTGCCCTTTTTACCAAAGAGATCATTAGAGACAGGGACCGTTTGAGTTGAAGCAGAATTAGAAAGTCGAAGTGTAATGCTCGTCACGATATGGCTGAAATATTGCCGAGGTGACGTTAAATATTAACTCACTCACTCACGAAGTGTAACGAATGTCCAAGAATGTCTAAGCAAAATGGAGAAACTGTACGAACAAACATACACTTACTTCTGTTTTCATAGCCTAAACACCCTAAATGTATCAAAGCAGGATGCTGTAACATCGAAGTGGAACAATATATTCAAAATCTACATCGATGCTGGCCTGGATGGGTTCCCAATTGCATTTGTTTAATTCTTGACTTCGGTGTATGGGTTTTCAAGTAAATAAATGACACTTTCCTAAATAATCAAATTACCTTAACTATGAAAAGAGGAATAATTACATGTATTCCGACACAAAACACTTTTTTCAGAGGTGAAAGGGGTTTAACGTCACGTCCAAGATTATTGCACTTATATAGCGACGTGCATGCACATGCTTTAGCGCAAGGTTCAAAATTATAATAAAGAGATGTCTATTCTACAGTGGGACTACATCAAATTTCAAAACACAGTAGGTTTATCTCTATTCTACCATGACGGCAACAACGCTTTGAAAACGGCGCTCTAATGCAACGCGTAACAACACAGGCACACATGTCCGCAATCTTAGAACATTCCGAAAAGAGGTCACAGGTAGTTATATATATGTAACAATTATTACTAAAGTTCAAGATTAAAAACACCATAGTCGTGAGTAGTTCAAAATAAGTGTTCAAAACACATAGTTTTTCAAAAGAGGTTGACAGAAAATACTCAAAACTTAGTCCAAAGACAGATGTTTTAATTTCTACCAACTTGTTGTACACTGTTGTACACTGTGGACTGGCTGTCAATTCTTGGAAGTTGCGAGAGAGGTTATTTCTTGGAAATCGAACATGCTATGATTGCTATTGTAGGGGTGACAGGTTCTAGAAAAAAGGTTTTAAAATGCTAAACGAATATATTTCTACAACAAACTTTTTGAATTAACGTTCCACTGTACATTTAACATGTGTAAGTGTTATTAGTTATTTAGCAATTACCCCCAGTTAACAATAATAACATAAAATAAAATGCCTCTCCACCCCGAACTTGGATGTGGCAGAACTTGACCTACATCACAGTTACTAACATCTCGCAGCTGTCAATGGCTGAAGATCTTGTGTTTACATTCTCCGTTGATTGTTTAAAGAAGCAATATGGCAACCACGATCTATGATGTGGTTCAACATTAACCTGTAGATTAACTGGGAATGATCGAGCCCGCTGGTACAATATGATTACCAGTGGAACTGAGTATGACTCAACAGCTGCGTTTTAGCCTGCAGCTAGACGAGCCTGACATTTTTACACGAGGTAGGGCCTATCTCAGTATCTGCATGATGTGACCTGTCAATTTCAAGATTTCATTGATTCCAAGCCAAAGTGTGAATGGAATGAGACATTCTTGGCCCAGACAAAGTTGGTCGAGTATGAATTTCTTAATTGTGCGTGATCTGAAATGAATTTCATCAAGTTTGACTTCAATGATGTCGGGACATTTTCGAATGGACAAGTTTTTTCTGAGTGATGAACATTCAAATCCTCTTCTACCAAATCCGTACCATGGTGGTTGACGGAGATAGCGATGAATATCGATTACAAAAAGGTTTGTTGACAACATGTTTTCATGAATTAAGTATTTTCAAACAGTTTTTATAATGTTATATTTTACTTTCGTTGTCGGTTGTTTCAATGAGGAAATAGCTTAAATTGTTCCAATTCTGGTCACCATAGAACATTTCCCTTACAGTTTCATAAAGATTCCATCTCTATGCAAAAGATATGCCTTCGTTAAATCTTTAAATGACATCATCGAAGCAGTCAGGGCTGCTTGCGGCACAGCCAACGCTCAAAACATCCGATATCAAACTACCGTATTTCCTCTATTTGATGCTATGCCGTCTATTAATTTCGCGAGAGTCCTTGACTCGGCGTGTATTAGAAACCTGGCTGGTATTAGAGACTCAACATGCATTAGAGGAAATATAGATACTTTTTACAGTTCCTATGGGGGGTGATCGATCAGCAGCCAGTTTTTATGAATCAATATGTAGGCTTTCTATGTATTCATACGCACGTTTTTTTTTTTGTGAAAAGGCTTAATATATTTGAAAGGGCTTTCCGTAGCAAAAAGGAAACCACTTTTTAACCAATCAGAATCAAGCATTCATCAATGTCATGGTAGAATGAATATTTAGGGTAATTACTACAGAAAACATAAAGTTAAGTATTGGAGAGATTTTATCAGAGCCAATATGGTTCAATCACCAATTTAAATACAATTTCATCTTAAAACATTGATTTGGTAAGGCTATTAGGAGTTTAAAAGATTAATGTAGCAACACAAGATTTTTACATATACTTGAGTACATCCATCTTCCCGAGGCAAGAGAGTTAACTGACTATGAAGTCAAGTTTCGTCCTTGTCGAACTAGGATGGTATTATTGAGTTACATTTTGGCTGGACTAATGAGTCTATGCTTAGTCCAATCAAAATCACGCACCGAAATCGAAATCCGGTTCGTAAACTGTCGTACAGATTTCGGTCGATTGCAGGATTTGCAAAACATGTGCATCCCCAACTCGTTGTCAACAGATATGTTTGAAACCTTTTCATGTTTCTAATCAAGGTGCTCGCGTGATTTAATGCACTTCGCGATGTTAGACCCGTTTTATCACAATATAGATCTTGATTATCGATCAGATGGTCTTGACTTGGCGCCGCCATTTTGTTTGAAATAAATGCAAGTGATGGGATGGGATTGGTCCATAGGAGAGGCTCAGAAGGGACATAACTGATAATAACTAGTGGTGGCGCTACGATCGATCCCAGGAATTTCAGTTCGGCAAGGGTTGAAGCATGGACTTCTAAAGTCAGTTAACTCTCTTGCCTCGGGAAGATGGACTACAACAGAGTAATGCTAATATCCCTAAATCATGGAAACAAGTAGTAAACGGGGGATTTGGTATCAAAGCTAATTTATACATAAATTACATTTAGGGAGACTTGTTGATAAGAACAAACGGCTCCAGAATATTTTATGATGAACTCATAACTACAACTAACTTTCCTCTGATGTGTGATAAATGGGAATGAACTTAATCAGAGTATTTTATGAAATAATATTTATACTAACTGTAACATGTGAACCAATGATGTTAAACGAATATATTTTCAGTTCAGATTCATAAATAGAGCTCTATATACCAAAAAAGTAATATGGAAAATGAAGTATGCTCTTTTTGTATCTTTTAATCTGAAAACTTACACCATGTATATGTAGAATGTGTTCTTGTGGAGGAACTTTGGTTAGAAATTGAAGTGTACCTAAACTATATATGATATTCATATTACCAATCTATATTATTTTCTTTGCTACAACAAAAAGAATTCTCTTTTCAACCATACAATTCTTCTTAAAATACGTTCACCAGTCAGGCATTATGAAAGCTCCATTATTCTTTCCCTTTTTTAAAAAATATTGAAAGATGTATGTAAAATCGAAAAATATGCAATGAAAAATAGTGGTTTTAATAAATGTGACAGAAAATGGAAGGAATTATCAGTCCACTTATCATAAAATATCAGTCACTCCAAAATACACGTATGTATATTACCCATATCGTGATCATGTTTTAAGATCCTATGAATTGCTACTCTAATATACCTCATGTATCTATGTTTCTTCTACTGAATTGACACAAATAAAATTATTAAAAAAATACTTCGATATTACAAATGTCAAGTTTGGCCATGGTTCTCAGTCTTGCAAGAATCACATTACAGTGGTTTCTCGCCTTCTTCCTTAATCTGTTCAGTCTGTTGCATTTTAGACTGATATCACCTTGACAAAAACAGAAACATACAGTCATTACACCATCTTCAACTGTTGAGGAGAACCTTGCCTCATCAGGATCTCAGACTGTTCCACTAAGGGCACCAACTCCTATTGTGAAAAATGCTTGTCAGAAAAAAAACCTACTCCAAACAATCTGGTCGAGTACTCAAGGGTTAAGGTGACCCTGTGAAACTATTTAATAAGTTTCAAACACTGGGATACATGGATGTCTCCCCACTTCCCTGTACACGCAATAGAAGCCCCGTGCCGGAAAAAAGTAGACCCCCAGGACTTCCGCCTCCTGTAACATGAATAAAAATAACTCCCTGAGTGGAGTTTTACAGGACTAAGGACTTATTTAAATGAAATTCAGTTATCGGTACAGGATTTTAAGCCATCAGCAATTTGTATTGATTAGACCTATGTCAAGCAAACAAACAACTTCTGTCAGTACAGTTCAGATAATCATTTTTCCTCTGGGTGCTAAAGCCACTGGAGGATCCTCCATCGTGGTGAGACAGGATGTGATCGGCAGCCCTGTGTCCCTTGATACCAATCTCCAAGCTAAAGCAGTACGACTTACTTTGCACATTGCATTTACTCTGTGCTGTCTATATATTCCTCTCTCCTCTTTTCCTCAGCGTTCTGATATACAATCTCTATATGATCAGCTTTCTGAGCCCTCTATCATTATGGGTGATTTAAATGTCAAAATCCCTTGTGGGGAAGCTTCAATATTAATTCTAAAGGAAAGCTCTTTGCGAAATTTATCTCTGATAATAACTTATGTATTTTTAATGATGGTTCAAATACATATTTATATCCGGCTACAGGGACACATTCTGCTTTAGATCTGTCACTATCAGATTCTTACTTGTTAAATGAATTTACATGGTCGGTCCATTATAATGTGTGTGGAAGCGACCATTTCCCTACAAGTAATCCATCTGGCGTTCCGCCCTCATCATGATCACAGTGGAATTTATATAAGGCTAACTGGTCTTTATTTTAAAACCTCTGTACTGACAAGTTAAAACGTGACATTTTAAGGAATGCTCCTGACCCTATCAAGTTGTTCTCCGAGCAACTGAATGAAACTGCTGATGAAACGATACCAACGACAGTTGCACATCGCTCGGTCACCGGAACACGTACACTGGATAATATGAGGACGTCACTCGTCTGTCCAGATACTAAATCGATTGCAGTAGGTGGGATTTTCCATTTTTGTCTATTTACGGAAGGGGATTTCCCTGTAAAATGGCGGCCGAGAGTGGCTTCACTACATCCGTGTGCCACAATCGTGAGTAGTATTGAAGCACATAGTACATAGACATTAATCCAAGTGTATTAACAGTGTATCACTATCACTTAGCATGTTAACAAACGATATCTATGAATATGTTTAGTGTGGGTTATCCTATAGCCGGTAGCCGCGATGGGGTCCTACAGTCAAAATATGACCCTACATCACGCCCGAGAACATCACATTCATAAATCCAATTTAATTCAGACTGACGTGGCCGATTACCCTCGTATTTTCTGTGATTTTAATTTTTTTAAATTTCACTTGGGTTTGTGACTGAACAGATGATTTCACTGTATTCCCAGATAATTTCCTTATCTATCTACATACTTGTTATAGTTTTATTGCCACAACTTGAGGTGTGCGCATGCGCGAGGATTCTATAGTCTGTTTCTGCATGGGGTTTCTGCAAGCCACGTAGTACTCTCTGCAAGGGGAAAACACGTTGTTTCGCGCGCTTGCACTGAGGATGCATTTCAACTTTATTTGTATATATCGATGATACTGTACTTCTATCGACAAACGCATATAAAACACAAACAACGCTATCTTTGTTTTCATTGTTATTTTAAATAAGTCGCAATATTAATGTATCTTAAGCCATGTATTTATCTTCGGAGGCAACAAAAATATTATTTCCCGCCCAAAAGAAGGTTTGAGGCGGTACGCGATATTCGGGGGTCTATTTAGAGGGTATTCGGTATACCGTGTGGTACGCTTGACGCAAATAAAATCGTACTGTGTACTCAGATTCCCTTTCATCAGGGGATTCAGAAACGGGATTCGTCTATCCCATTTTGTTTCTGAAATATAAATCCGATACCGTTCAACATGTCTGGAATCAGGAATGCTCTGTTTTTGGTGCCTTTTGCTTGTAAGGAACTTTTTAAATGTGTATTATTTTGCGTTTCCTAGGCAACATGTCGTACTTGTGATTTAATATTCAAAGATGGAAATTTGTGACCACATCAAATATCATACGCCATGCAACCCTCCTTAAGATTAAGGGTTAAAATTTGTCCCCTGCAACCTATGCTTGTGATGAGGGTCGACTAAACCGATCTGGTAGTCAAGCTGGGTGACTTGGTGTATAGTGTTACTCATAATGGGGATAATGCGGCCATGATAAGCAAAAAAAGCATCTTACATTAGGTCAGGAATTTTTTTTTTTCTATTTTGTCATGGAATAATAATTTAGGGTTTTAAAAATAATTTGTCCAACACTGCTATCACATGCCAATTGAAAGGGGGCACTGGTGGCCCAGTCGTCTAAGGCGCCGCTATTCGCTGTGCATAGTTGCGTCCCTTCGGCACGCCAGAAACCTATGATTGTGGGTTCGAATCCCGGTTATGTTTCTAGGTTTGTCAGCACCATACCAGTGCTCGTGGGTGTCACCGAAGTGATAAACGTCTTAGACCTGCACCACTAAGGGATTTCCTCCCAGATTAGGCTGACACGCCGTGATATAACTAGAATACTGTTAAAAGCGGAGTTAAACCCAACTCACTCACATATTGTATTGAAAAGTACCATGCTTACTAATTCGCGTCATTTGAAGATACATGTATAGAAAGCATTTAAAATTAAATTGTTATATGCGCATATTTAAAAGGGCGTGGGCTATCGATGACTTTGTCTTCTTGTTAATCTATGCTCTTTGTCCACACTGTCTCGAAAATCTTGGCGTTGTTATGCTCGAGACTAAAACTATCGAACTTGTAAAGCCTGTGCTGACAGATATCAACCAAGAAATATGCATTTAATATCAAAAGGAACTGAATCATCCAACGGGGCCACAAATATACTTATCAAAGGTAATTCCCCTCTAGAACCTGATCGTTTTATTAAAGAATACTGTCAGTGACGTACTTTATTTAGAATTAGATGTTGAGATCATTATCAAACGGGCAGATGGAAAAATATACCACATTGTTTTTTGTCTTATCAAAATGTCAGATGGGATTGACAACAACTTAGGCATTGGTGATACGAGTATGCTTGAACTGGGTAACCTAGTATTACTTGGAAACCCAGCATTAGATCAAGCTCACAACATTAATACTCTCCCTACATTATGCCGTATAAGGTCTCTGGCTCTGTTATTCGTATCTACGTTCTCCAGAAAACGTTATTAAGCACACATTGTACAGACACATATTTGTATTCAAAGAATATCGTTATACGTTCCGTACCTCTAATACTGCTTCATATACCAATCCATTAGACATTACGACCTGAATGCCTTAAAGACTTGTGTCAGTGAAATTAAGAAATATCCTATGCTGGATGAATCCTCTGTGCAAGCGTCGGAAACTATGTGTTTTTTTCTCTTTGGACTACCGAATCCCGATGTCGGAGGTACAACATACATGTACATCCAGTAGAACACTCATTCGGAAACAGACTATAGAAATCTACGGCATGCAGACACCATGTCAACAAGTCAACTCGCCACCGACGAAACACGAAGTGATCTGGTTACCGGTATGGTATAACCTCAAGTTGTGGTAATAGAATTATGAAATTATGTGTATAGACAAGGAAGTAATCCGGGAGTACAGCGACATAAACTTTTCAGTCACAAACCTACGGGAAATATTTTTTTTAAATATCAAGAGAATACGAGGGGAAATCAACCACCACAGTCTGAAAAGGAGGTAATGTTCTCGGCCGTGATGTAGGTCATGTCGTGACAGTGTTAATACGAAAACTGATCCGTGAGGTTCTTCAATCTTAATAAGACTCCACGTCGAAAGGCTTACATTTTGGAAACGTGTCAGTGTTACATAAACAGTGAGGGTGATATATTTGTCGTATAATATATATATGTAAGATTATCCTCAATTGTCTGTTTACTTTTTACTACAGGGCAAAACATAATCATACACAGTTCTGTATTTTATTATTTGCGATAACACATTATTTGGAAAATTGTTTTTTTCTCATTGGCGGCACACAAAAAATGTACGTGAGAACGGATGCGTGCATGTGATGAAAGGCGAATGGATACTTGTAATGGTTAAAACGTCGTATCTCTTATAAAGATGTCATGTACTTGTAGTTTACAGCATCCGACACGATTTGTTATAGATGAACACATGTAGTATAGTTGAGTAATGATAAAATAGCCCGTTCGGAATTACGGATTATATGTCCCTCGTGGTATCATCGTTTAATGTAATGTGAATTTCACTCGGGATATATAATCCGCACTTCCTTTGCAGCTCGAAAATTATTTTTCTTGCTAGTTGCGTGCGGCGTTGTTCTCAATCTGTTCAGTAGTCACTGAATGGTGGCGAGAGGAGTGCCTGGGGTTAAACAGGTTCCGGGTTGGATCAATCCAAGTTTCAACATGTTTTTAACGGTTTTATTTATGGCATGTAGCCAGTAGATTTTATAATGCACGACAAAGCCTACTGAGCAAATTAAGTTGTTTGTTTGTGTGTCATTGTGTGAGGTGAGGTGAGGTGAAATGGGGTTTAACGTCGCATCCAAGATTATTGCACTTATATAGCGGCGTGCATGCACGTGTATGTGTGTGTTTGTGTGGCTGCTTGTACTAGTCCGGCTGATGCCGATTTATAGTGCTAGCACACTGAGATACCACGCCGCAGTTTAACATGAATACCCCACTCAGACACAGTATACTGACTCCGAGCCGACCAGTCCTTGTTTTAGCCCCTTAAGGCCGAGCGCCAGACAGGGTAACAACAAGTACCATCTTTTAACGTCTTTTGGTATGACGCGGCTGGGGATCGAACCCCGGACCTTCCGCTCTCCGGGCGGACGCTCTACCTTTAGACCACGGAGGCAGTCGTGTCATTGTGTATATTAATTGACAAGTTCCCTGTTAAACATTTCAAGGCTACTAGCAATAATTAGTAATTTAACAGAAGGCTAAAAAAGAAGAATGTTTTGGACTGTAATAACACGTGGTTTGTACCAGTGTTGATTACTTCAAGGACTTAAAGAGCAACTAGCTCGGGCAAACTGGCAGTCCTGGCATGATTCATTCAATGAATATATAAGCTACAAATGACTTTCCATAATCAGAAGAATTATCTGCTAAAACATTGCACGATTGTAGTCCATCGTACGATTCCGACTTCAAACGCTACGTTGGTTATCTCCAATTTAACGAGGCATATCAATGTCTACACCTTGACTGAACAAGGACTCGATGCAATGGATAACAGTCCTTCTTCAAGTCTATTGCAGACGAAAATGGTGAAATGATCCAGTAATTACAACTGTATCCAAATGTTCACACAATTAACTCTTGCACAACTTATATCTCCGTGTGACATGTGTGAGTGAGTAGGAAAGATTTTATACCGCTTTTAGCAATGTTCCATGAATATCACGGCGGGGTACACCAGAAAGGGGATTCGCCCATTGTACCCCAACAATGTAAAAGCAACAATATACTTAATAATGGTAAGGTTTAAATTCTTGTGTATATTTAGAGACATGGTCAGTTGATGTGAAAACATGGATACCGAAACTAGCAAGCGGGGCGGACTGACAGGTCGACTGTAGAGATTGTTTTATCGTAACATATGATAATTTTCTATGATCAAATTGTTTATGATAATATGATACCTCTTATGATTTTGTATGACGTTTATTATTGATATATACAGAGGAGAACCCAAAACTATATATTTAATCTATCCCATATGCCGTCCCGCCTCCTTATTCAATATCACCATCATGTGTTTACATTTGTTAGGGCTTTTTCTAACATAGAGTTTTGGGCCCTTTTAGATTCCTCACTGAGCTATACCTAATACAAACAGGAAGGTAGAATGCACTCATACATAAATTTATCCTTTTTAACAATAACTCCCAGGACATCTTTCACAGATCCATAGAACAGAAATGAGTAACACAGTAAAGATTGTATCTAGAGGCTTTAGTGATTCATTGAAAAGGAAAGGGGTTTCAATATTTTGTTTACAAGATGTTTTTTTCACGAAGGCTATTGAACAAATGATGTAAACAATCAATTCTAGGGGGTAGCAATTTTAATTTTTACAAAATGTTTATTTCATAATTTCTAAAGACTATAAGAACAGAGAAAAAGGATACCTTATAGGACAAGACATGCTCTTTAGAGACACTAAATTATCCCCGGTTCGTATATATGCACCTAATAATGACTTTATGGACATATCTGTGGCTTGATGATAAAACTAAAAAATGAACATTTCATAATTTCTGGTGACAAACATATCAATTACCCGAAAGTACGAAAATATGTTCTGTAAATGATTGAAGAATTTAGTCTGGAAGATCCATTAAGAGAAAGCAATCCATCAGAGAGAAGATATATAGATGGATGTATTAAAGTGCCTGAATTATGAGAGACAAGACAATCACACAAACACGTTCAATGGTTAAAGACTGATTAAAGGCGGTAATGCCAGCATATGGTACCTTCTCAATATTAGTATTTCACCAACAGCAATAAACATTTTTGAGTGAGATAGGACCTAAACATATAATTCATGGAGTGAGTTTAAATTTAACGTCACATCGGCAGTATTTCAGCCATATCGTGACGCGACATCTAATACAAACAGTAATTCCAAGGACAAATATCAATTTTGGAAAGATGTAATGCTTGCATGGGCTGAGCATCACTACTTAGGTGTTCTTTTTGACAATCAACAAAAAGAAGATACACAAAGCATATTTCTTTTTTTATTCAAATAAACGGACAACTTGTCTAACATGGCATTTGTGGTAAGGGTTTTGTCGCTTGTTATAAAAAAGGCGTTAGACAAATTTTTGAGTAAGGAACAACTTATTAACTAGACGCATTGCATACGGATGGATGTAAATCAAAGTTTGAAACGAAATAAAATAGATTTAAACAGGCAATACCAACATACTCCCATAGATATTCGAGAGAAAACAGGTGACACCAACATAACTATACCATGTACATAACTAAATAGCAAAGCCGATGTAAAGCTTTCTACAATAAACTGCTACAGCTTGATTTTTAACTATTTTAACAGAACCAATCAGCATGACAAATGAGAAATAGCCCATGTATGTCTATTTATATTTTTTCTACTTCGCTCTCGCTATTCATACCTTATTGACTGTTTCAAGTCGGCTTTTCTGTGGTTAAAGCCATACTTTTGCGTATATGGCGTTATCGTAGGTTAGGCACCGTGAGCGTCCCTAAGGTGTATTTTCATTGTAGACTGTTATTTATTTTACTATTTTTCCTTTTTTCTGCAGTTGAAAGCTAAGGTATGAAGCAGCATATCTTTCCTAACTTCTTATCAGAGGAACCCCAATCATCTCAGGAGGATACATGGGTACACCAATCTGAAGTATGAAGACTCTAGAAGATCAGGGTTTTGCAGGACAGTCTGCAAATAACATTCAGGTTGCTGACAAGGCCAAGGATTCCCCAAAACGAGAGAAAATTGAAAATGAGAAGCAACATCCGAATGTGGAATTTATCGAAAAAAATAAGGAAAATGTAATGGAAAACGTGGACAGTGGAGGGAATAATATACGCACCACTCAGTGTGACCAAGATCAACCAAAGACTAAAGAAAGCAATTCAAAGACTAAAGAGCATGATAAAGAGACGCATCATCTGAGTACGAAAGACACTAACAAAAGAAAAATTCCTTTTAATGAAGAAACACTTGAGTTCCGATTCTGGATGCAATATAAGGATTCCAATTTAGAGGAAAAGATCTTATCTTCTTCTTATGAGGTATATCTCAGTTCGACCTTTCTTGCTGAGGAAGTGGGAATGGTATCTGGATTAGAAAAATGCATCCAAAAGCAATTCAGTGAAACTAGCATACCATATTATATCAAATCTTATGAACATGAAGGAATCCGTAGTTTGAAAGTAAGGATAGCATTGGTTGTTATACCAACTCTTGAAATATCCAGCAGTGGTAAGGAAGAGCCTAACTTTCAACTATTACAAAAATACCTGAGTGCTCTCTTCACTGACAGTGAAACTCATGAAGGACATAGATCAAAGGTCTTGGAAGCTTTTGATGTACGAAGATTCCGGGTTGCACATGAACAACAACTTTCCCGTCTTCTCCTTCATCGTTACAGCTTTCAGGAAATACTGAACACAGGAACACGAAGTGAGCAGGGGCAGATGTGGTATGAGAATTTGAGACTGAGGTCCTTCTATGGAGTATGTATTGAGGCTTCCCCCCTCCGTCTTGTAGCAGCAGGGTTCTACGCTACAGGAGATGGAGATGAGACCAGGTGCTTCAGCTGTGGTGTGACACACAGGAACTGGACAGGCAGGGACAACCCGTTTGAAATTCATGCTGCTGTTTCTCCCTCCTGCAACCATGTACTTGACACAGACGACAATAATGTTTCAATCCAGGATACGAATTCACCAGAACACCTAGCAACTGAGTGCCCTCTCGTAGGTGATACACAAAATAACATTGAACTGAATGCTGTGCCTGCGGATTCAACTACGCCATTTCATCAAACATCTGCATCAAAATATGAACACACACTTTCCTCAATTAACACGTATGTCCACATTATCACATTCATAGATGATGGTCATCGCAATCAACTGGATGATATCGCCGGTAAGAATGATACATTATCATAAATTATCAAAAGGTTATTTATTTTATAAATATTGTTGCTTTTTCCAATTGTTTTTCTGCACATTCTACATTATTTAAGATGTTCACCATTTTAAATCACGTTGTAAGCGTACTCCTTGCTATACACACAAAAAAAGTTAAGCACAACCTAATATATTTCATTATTGTTTGTTCCCAATATTTGTAACAGTCGTGAAAGATATAATTACGGGAAGAATTATGTTTTCTCGAGATGATGTGATCAGTCATGTGTGACGAAAGCTCACTTGTCATGCATGTTATGCCCGTTCAGCATGCTACCCTCGAGTATCTCTAAAAGCAGTGTATCCAAACGTTAAAATTGCTTTCTTAAGCTCGTTTTGAAACAGTTATTCCATGACATTGTGTGACCATGGCACGAAGGCGATTATCAAACACCACAAGATGTCAAATAATCGGCATGCATAACGCAGGAAGGTCTTGAAATGCCATTGGTCGGAATTTGGGGTATCCTCACACTGACGTAGGCCGTTTAGTCGAGAAACATGTTCAGACCGGTGATGTGCAGGACCATCCCTGATCCGGAAGACCTCCTGTGACGACACATCGCGAAGACAGGGACCTTCTTCGTCTCATACGCCGAGAACGCATTTTTAACATGTACTCGTCTGAAACAGCTGTGGTTGCCCAATCGTCGTGTCAGCACCAGAACCGACAGGAACCGGCTGAAAGCAGCAGGACTGAGGGCTAAACGAGTCATAAAGCGTCCCTTGTTGAAAGCTGCTCGTTTAGCATGGTGTATTGCGCCACAGAACTGGAATCTGAGAACTTGGAGACGGATCCATTGGTCAGACGAAAGTCACTTTCTGCTCCACGTCACTGATGGAAAAAAGAGAGTTTGGAGGCACCGGGACACAGCCCACACCCCCAGGGACATTAAACCGAATGTTGCATACGGCGGGGGCTCGGTAATGGTTTGGGGGTGTATCTCTCATGATTGCAGGTTGGATTTGGTCACCATCAGGGACAACTTAACAGGTGCTCAGTACATCTGGGACGTGTTTAGGCCAGTCGTCGTTCCTCATTTTGACAACCATCCTCTTGCAACTCGGCCTCATCGTTCGCATGCAGTCGTGGATTACACGAGGGCCAATGCAATAACGACTCTACCCTGGCCAGCAATGAGCCCAGATTTGACCCCCTTGAAGATGTTTGGGATATTCTGGGGCGGTGCATACAGGCACGAGATTCTGCCGTACAAGATTTACGCCAATGGGAAGCAGCATTGCATCAGGCGTGGTTGTTGTTGACCTATCAACAGATCCAACGTCTGACTTGAGGCATGAGACGTAGGGTGGAATGCGTCATCCGGGCACGTGGCGGTTAATCCCGCTACTGATCTGTGTCACGTGTCATATCAAGAAGAGACTTTAAGGAACATTTTCACATGAAACATCAAACGTAACTCGTTTATTTGATCCTGCAGTTCCATATTTTTTATGTATTTTCTAAGGTCAAAAACAATACAGTGTGTTACCATGATGTTTTTGTCAGTAAATTTCAATCATAACTCACCGATATCTTCTTTATTTGTTGTCAAATGTTTGTTCTATCCGACGACATTGGTATCGCCCAGCTCCTGTGGTCAGTCCTCCAATGCCATGATTTTTGCCATTTGTCATGGTTCAGAAATAGGGGTGTGCTTAACTTTTTTCTTTGTGTATATTTTACTGATATGGTTTCTTTTTTTTATTTCAAGTAACAGTGGAAATGGCATGTTTGCCTCTTGTGAATCTATCTGTAGATAAACGTATTTGCTTACGTTAAACATCAGTGTTTAACATTTCTTCTGGAGTTAACCAGTGGAGATTCAGAATATGTCCTCATTGTCCCAGGCTTGTTGCAACCGACAATAAAATTGGATTCTAGTCACCAGGCGTTGGTCGTTGCCGATGGTCTGCCTGGTACACCTACAGGCAACCGTGATACAGGTCGAATATTGCCGTGACCACGTTAAACAACAGCACATATGCTTTCACTCGCTTATTCTTTACACCACTGCTGACAATAACATTATTGGGACTTTGTATAGGTGATGGGACTGTATGGTGCATAGAAATTGGCGGAATTGAATACAAGGAATTGGAGTTATTTACTGGATAAAGGATTTCGTTTGCTCTTGTTTAATGAGAATGTTGGGGATGTAGTAGAGAGTAGGAAAGCCTGTCACATCACATTGTACATGATGGTTACTGTGTCCTCATTGTTCCAGCATTACGTTCAAGATTTGAAGCGCTGATTGAGAAGACCCATCATAAAGATTTCGACGGTAATGCCAGATACATCTTGGAGAAGAAGGATAACGGTGAAGAGGAAAGTGAACAGACGCGAGATAAATGGACATGTTCACAAGGTCCCCGGACTCAAACAACAGGCCCAGGATATTACCCAAACAGTGCTTCCGACAGCTTTGCATTTCAAAGTCAAGAAAAGGTAAAGGACTTAAAAAATGGACAAACAAGGAAGAAAACAAAGAGTAAAGCAAGAAAAGATGAAATCAAACTGAACATTACTGTTGATGACAATGTTTATTGGCTTATCAATTCTCACTCACCAACTCCCAACATTCAAAGAAATACACCAGTGTCAAACTACACCGGTCAGTAACACAAACCCACCAGTAACTGGAAGACTCGATGATGTCTCGGACGAATTGATCAGTGAACAGTACATATTGCAGATAATGAGAGGCCACAAAACTGAATGTATTTATTTCCTTAAATCAGTCACATGAAACAAAATTCAATGAAAATTATCACGAAATGTGTTTCATAAACAGGACATTTAAGGACAGTGTTTAGTAACAAAAGAAACTTGGGATATTCTTAATTTGAAACTTCTAAACGACTTAGAATGGCAATATGTCATGATGAACACCATTGGACAGCACATTGTCTGGTTCCAACTAGCTGCTTTATGGAATTTACTGACTAAAAGAATGCGCGTGTTTTGTAATTGCACGAGGAAATAAGGGTATTTGAGGTTTAGTTGTAGAGATGTAGGCAATCAACATGGATACCTTTGAATTGACACTGGTCCCTTGTGACTATCTCGCGTAATTTCCAAGACAAATCTCAAATGTCTTTTGGAACACTGTTTCTAGACAAAGAAAACAGTGGCCCCGAAAGAGGCTATTAGAAATTGTTGCATTATTTATCTTCTTCTACAGCTCGTAGAAAAATTCGTAGGCAAAATAATGATGGTGTTCCAATCTCTACCGGTAAACACTCAAATACATTCACAGCCAATATCTCTGGTAAAGGCTAGGGTGCTGTAATTGTAGATGCCGGTTGGAATCGATAGCTATGTTTGCAAAAATAGTGATTTGGACATGATACGTGTTATTTACAGTTTATTGTAGCATCATATTACTTTTGTAAAGATGTGTTATTGTGCATAACATAAGTTCATGTCAGTGGCTCTGTGGTTTTTTTACCTGTTCATACAGATTACCGTTCTTTGTATCTATTTACTCCATATCAATCATTATGTTTTGCTCGACAGCTTTTACCCACCATCCTTTTGGTGTTCATGTAACCTGATGATGTATAAATTATTGCTATTAAGTAAGATTTAACAAAGAGTTTCCAAGGTATAAAATCACATGCCTCACCCACCCTCCAGAATTAAAATATACGGTCTTAGTTTTTCCGTTTTGTATTGAAATTCGTTCCAGTGAAATATACAGTTAAAGACGGATCCGATTTCCATAGGTAATCTCGTGCAGTCCATCATGTTTGGCGAGATAGAATCTCCATCAAACATTACTAAGTTGATCGTTTAATTTCGCAATTAAATACACGAGGGTTCGTTACAAACTTAGCACCCTAAAAGTCAAACCTTTATTCAGATTAACAATGATAGTACATTCTATTTAATTTGATGATCACAAAATCAGTTCGATATTTGCCATTCAAAGCGACATGTTGCTGTATTCTTCAGTATGAAAGGATGTCATCAAATGACCATGAACTGTTAACGTTAAATAATTGATAAAGTGCAGTGAGTTTGTAATGGGGGACATTTCCTGCATGTCTTTCAGTAATATTCCTGACTTATACAGTTTTCCTGAATATTCCTGAATACTGTTCCTAAAAAATAGTTCAAAACAATTTTATGAATTTCCACAAAAAGGAAATGGATATGCCCACAGGCAACATGTCTATGTGAGGAGATTTTCCGTATAAATGAGTTGACAATAACAGTGATACTTGAATGTCTATCATGAATGACGAATACATAATACTCATGACATTTAAAAAAGGTACATCTAATCTATTCTTCTTATTTTAATAATGCCGATGCGACGTATTAAATTTTAACTCACTCACTCTTCTTCTTTTCTTTTACATACAGAAATGCTGCGATTTTATAATACAAACCCACATGAAATGGATATATATATATATATATATATATATATATATATATATATATATATATATATACATTATTTCTAAATATGTTTTATCGATATAATAATATTGATCAGGTCAACTAAGTTTTGACCATTTCTCCTTGGAGGCTAGAATTCGTGGTCTACATCATAAAGTATAATTTTTTTATTTTTTTATGATTTATGTGCTAGTATGTATGACATTTTATCATTGCATGAACTACAGAGATCCTTTTCACTTTTTCCAATTATTATGAAATACCCCCAGTTGTCACGTTGCGGTGCAAACTTTTATACTAAAAAAATATTGATTTTACTATTTACAGAACATTTTAACTCATTTGGAAGCATTTCTGAAAATGTTTGTGTGTTGCCGTTGTGTGTTACCTTTTCCTGTGAAGGATATCTGGGGAATTTGCTGTATTTTCACACAGTTGTCTGCAACAATTTGCAGTCTTTTGAATTCAAACTGTCAGAAAGTAGGGTACAAATGATATCGTCTTTGTCTTTCTGTTTATTGTGTCATGTATTAGAAGATTTGGAATAGAATGTATAAACTTAACATAGAAAAGACATGTTGTAGAATTGCTTTGATTGACCAATTTTGCATGTATTCGAACCCGTTTGATGTTGTGAGTGAATACAACTTATGACTGAACACAGGTACGGATAGACGATGGGTAAAAGGATTCACACGAATGTCTTAGTCTTGTGAGAGGAACACTGATGTTTTCAGAGTTTCTGAGACTGTATGAGATTTTTGCAGCAACGGTTTAGGCAGAAAATCTGTTAGATAGGAAGGGGCCATGTTATGATTAATTTTGAAGAAAAGACAAAGTTTACGTTTCTTTCTACGCTCAATTAAGGGTTCCCAACCGGTTTCGTAAAATAATGAATGCCTGGGGGCATATTTAGGTAGACCAGTTACAATGCGTGCAGCTTCTAATTCTAATTGTTCTAATTTCTCACTTGTCTTCGGTGCAACCCTTCCAAACCTCACATGCGTATTCAAAGTGTGGTCTTACGAACATTGTATATGTATTTTAAATAGTATTTCTGTGAAGCAGATGTTTGAGTTTTCGCATTGAGTAAATCATCTCGGAAGTTGTTTTGATAATGGTATCTATATGACAAGACCATTTGCCACTGGCTTCCAGTATAACCCATATTCCGTTATCAGATCGAAATTCTACGAATTAATGTTTTAAAAATTTGTTACAAAAGCACCACCCCACATCACCTGCGTACTTCGCATATGGAAAAAGAAAATATAATATCTTACACACAAAACTGAGATACATGTGCACTCAATTGAGTTATGATTGATATAGACTTGGTATAAAAGATCACTCAAACTGTACATGTTCAAATGTCATTATCTCATGAAATGTACATTGTACAATGTATCTCTCTCTCTCCCTCTCTCTCTCTCCCTCTCTCTCTCTCCCTCTCTCTCTCTCTCTCTCTCTGACAGCTCTTCAGTGTAACTGACTATGACATAATATATATATATATATCATCATATGTCTCCTTTATAGTGTTGTATGATGTGAGTGAATACTAAATACGGCTAAACAATGTACGGCTATGTGAATACAACATACGGATGAACACAGGTACGGTGTGAGTGAATGCTGAATACAGCTAAACAATGGTACGATGTGAGTGAATACTGAATACAGCTGGACACAGGTACGATGTGAGTGAATACTGAATACAGCTGGACACAGGTACGATGTGGGTGAACACAACATGCGGCTGAACACAGGTACGGGATGTGTGGATACTGAATACGGCTGAACACAGGTACGGGTGTGTGAATACTGAATACAGCTGGACACAGGTATGGTTTGTGTGAACACAACATACGACTGAACACCAAGTATGGGGCGTGTGAATACTGAATACGTCCGAACACAGGTATGATGTATGTGAATACCGAATAGGGCTGAATACAGGTACGGTGGCAGTGAATACTGAATACATTTGAACACAGGTACGGGGTGAGTGAATACTGCTGAACAAAGGTACAGGGTGAGTGAATACTGAACACTGCAGAACACAGGTACGGTGTAGGTTAACACAACATGCGGCTGAACACAGGTACGGGATGTGTGGATACTGAATACGGCTGAACACAGGTACGGGGTGTGTGAATACTGAATACAGCTGGACACAGGTATGGTGTGTGTGAACACAACAAACGACTGAACACCAAGTATGGGGCGTGTGAAAACTGAATACGTCCGAACACAGGTATTATGTATGTGAATACTGAATAGGGCTGAATACAGGTACGGTGGCAGTGAATACTGAATACATTTGAACACAGGTACGGGGTGAGTGAATAATGCTGAACACAGGTACGGTGTGGGTTAACACAACATGCGGCTGAACACAGGTACGGGGTGTGTGAATTCTGAATACGGCTGAACACAGGTACGGGGCTAGTGAATTCAACATACAAAACGGGTGTTTTCGCGTAGGATAATTATTATGGTATTCTGTTATAAAGAAGAGTATCAATGGAAAACTTTTCACTGTGCTACAGGATATGTTAAAATAAAACCTTTAATATTATAACTTGCGGAAATATTGGGTTTCCATTTGTATCAATCTATTGAATAATTTCGTACTAGTTTTTGATGGTAAACATGCATCAAGTAATGCAATTTTGCATGAGTGTGGAAAATAATTTGTCTGTTGATTATCATATAAAATGTATTAAATTTTGGGGTAAGATTGTTCATATGGATAACCAAAGAGATCCTTATCAATGTAACCAACTAATGAAAAGACTGGATGAAAGTGGTAGAACAACGTGGGCTACTCATGTAAAACATCTTTTCTATATGCAGGATTTGGTGATGTATGGAAAGCACAGTGTGTGTCGGGTGTAAAACATTTTGTTTCAATCTTTAATTATAAGCAACGATTAATAGATTGTAACTGGCAGACACTTCACGCTTCTATGTTTGATTCTGGGAAGCTGCGATGTTATTCCATGTTTTAAACTACTTTTTGTACTGAATATTTTATCACTGCGTTTAGGAGTAGAGAAATATGACGATATATATGCTTATTACGATTAAGTGAGTTACCATTAAGATGTAATACAGGAAGACGAGATGGATCAGATTTTTCCTAGAGAATTTGTAAACATTGTAATACTGGTGAAATAGATGATGAACTACATTTTCTGTTTAGCTGCCCTGCATTTAATGATTTACGAAGTAATCTATGTGGTTTTTACAAACTGAATATGAAAATTAACGTATTTGTATTAATTTGATGAACACAAGACATATCATATGGTTGAAGTAGCTTGTAACATTTATCAAGAAAAGTTTAAATTCTGAACAATAATATTATGTAACATTTGTCTCTTGTCACAATGTAAATCTACCATTTATATGTACCTGGGCCTCTGGTCTTATTGCTGTGAATAAACCAATGAAATGAAACAAACAATGAGATAAATCTTTTACAAGACCCATGTGTAAAATGTCATCATACGTATACACTAGTTGAAATGTGAACGCACTTATAACATATGTTTGCCTCTGAAAAAAAGTATATTCAGTATAGCGACAGGTTGAGGACACGCATGCACGCCGACTGTGCTGAGTCACAAAGACGTCCAACAAAAGGCCATCTACTCGCTCACACACAGTGAGTCGTTTCCTGCTTCACTGGTAAAACCCTGTCTAAATTTAGCTCGCTTTGACTTGTCAACAGAATAAATTAATTGTTGCCTCGTATTACCTGACACTGTTGTATGTTCTAAATTAAAGCCTATTGATAAGGCAATAATTCAGGAACAGCCTCACACACAACAGTATCACTGAAGGTGTTTCCAACTACTAGTATTCAGCTGATTGCAGTTTGGGCCATCTGTTGTTAAGCTGTTACTCACCGCCTGTTTCGCGTACACAGTCACCTTGTGTAATGCTGAGTTACGAACCTTGACTAATATAGGTCGACTCGTTTAAGGTGCACGTGGCGTGCTCGTATATCGGTATTGTCACGTACTAGAGCATAAACATGTGAATGTGTTGTTCCGGGCGTGGATACAGTATAACTGATAACTGATAACGCAATTGTAAGGCTTAGTCACACCAGGATATGCCCTGACCTAGAAGCACATGCATACTAGGTTACGGGTGGTATGTTGATCAGCGTGAAACACATGCCAAGCAACAAGGGGATCAGGCAGTGTGGTGGAAGCAGTTGTGGCTATCACTAGTCAGGTATGTGTGTCATGACTCCTTAACACTTACTCCTTTTATTTTAATATTATTACTGATATATCTTCCCAGTTTATGACTTGTTAACTATTATCTCTGAGTAATGTTATGAAGACATCTTAAAGTTTGGGATTTTTGCAATCGCAAAGCATATTTCATTTTCTAATTGTTAGTTTAGATTCTAGGCAGCAATATTCTGTCGATCTATGATCGATGGATACATGTGAAGGTGAAGGACGGTTCTTTGTGGGTACTAGCCACCATTTGTTGGTACCATTATAGGTTTAGATATCGGGGCAGCACTATAATACCGATCTAGAACGTATGGATGTATCTTGAGTTGGGAAGAGGGTTGTTTGTGGGCACAAGCTAGCGAGTCCACTAGGCACTAGATATTGTCATTATAGTTGTTGTTTGCCGTTGGTCGTTTCGGGAGAGGGTGTGTAGCGTGTGATGCAATGTCACACCGCGTGCAGTGTCCACGTGGTTTTATTTATGTACTCGTTCAGGTTGTTGGCAACTCAAAATATTGACTGATTTACCTTGTTTTTTTTCTTTCGTGAAGTTATGATATCTTACCTTTATAAGTTTGCTCTGTTCTGTAATTCGTTTCTGACTTGATGTTCATGTTAAATGATGTCGTCCAATACTTACTGTAAGAAAGGTTTTCCTGTCCGTTTCAAATTAGGTGGAACAGCTAGTTTATTCCTCAGTAATAGGAAGGTATACTTGCAGAAAGGTGTCTGATGTAGGTGTTGCTTTGCCTAATGATAATCAATAAACCATCAAAATGGCTGATTAGCTTTTTTCTCGATTAAACTAATTTGCCCTTTCTTTAGCGAAAAAGCAACAAAAATTAATTGCCTCTATGAAAAAACATGTATTTGGATGGAAACAGAAATACTGTGAGTAATGCCCCCTTCATAACCAGTGTATAAACAACCGACTCACCACATGATTTAGATCAATTTTGTGACTGTTACTTTTCCATAAATGCACAAAAATGGAAAGTTAATCGTTATGTTGAAGATGTAAAACAAATGAGTCTGGTAAGTGTCAGGGTCAGGTACATGAGCATGCTGTTAACTGTCAGTATACGCCTTGTCATACAAGAATAACTTTCACTGAGACGCCAGGGACCGTACTAATCAATTTGATCGTATTTCAGTAATACTTCAAGATAATTATACAACAATATTTAAACAATAAAAGAAAGGTTTCAAAATGTGGACAGTGTCCCTTACACTGCCAAGCTTACTTGCACTCACAACTTTACTAGACGTTATATTAGTTTCCGTACTGATATCGCTGATAGGCTATGCTAACCCATCAACAGTCAGCGCATAAAAATAACATCCGATTATGATTTTACGTAAATTGTAATTATTTGAACGACAATGACAATAATCTGCGTCGTATCAATCCGACGGTGGTTCAAAGTCCATATGTTGTTTCATAATCAGGTCAATGAAGTAACCACTGGCAACAAGCCATCTACTACATTGTGTGGGCGTTGTCACTTTGTTTCCACGTGTGTTTATCCTGCGTGTCGATTTCTAACCGTCGAGTTAGGAGTGAAGTCTTTGGCACTTCAATAGAGCATTTCAAGGTGAGTGAGCATACAATTTTTATTGACGTTAACTTAATTTATTCCACGTCTTACTAGTAATGTGGCTACAGCAATAACCCACTTTAACGTCACATGGATACGTTATAAATAAACGATACCGCGTGGATGATGATTGAGGCAACGACTCGACGCCTACTCGAAAGCCTGTAAATGAAATACCGCAGAGGGTTATACAAACACAAACATGTCTATGAGGTGTGTAATCATAACACTAGGTGAAAAAAATAATTGACTGTGATACCATGCGGCGGTTAATCAGATAAAGATTTATTCATGTTCAAGGACGGCGGCTGTAAACGGCTAGGGATTTCCAATGATTTTCAGGATGTTAACATGTGAGACATTAGATCATATGGTCGATTGCATATGAGGGTTGAACTGTGACAAGAATGCAATATACCGGACAACTTCCGCCCACGGTAAGGGATATGGAGGAGTAGTTTCCTTAGTAACGATTTCAAAGTTATTATTAGACATTATTTTTTAGTAGTTTTTCGATGTTGACGTCCAGGTTTCGACGTTTTATGGATTACTTGATACTTAATATTGAGGTTTAATCAAAATAAAAGGAATGGAGAGTTACTGGGACATTCCCCTCTACATCGTACACGGGACATGATGGGTATTCTACCAAATAATGTGTTGCAGATCTGCGCCGACTGAAACACTAGTCGTCTCCAAGAAAAAAATAATCACTACCCGAAAACAATATTAAATGGTCGGTCCCTAATGAATTATTATGAAATGTTCACAGTTTCATATCTCAAACGAGAAACAAAAAGAAAAGTGTCAATGACACGTGTCATAATGTAAAATATATGTTTTGATTGTAAATGATAATCATATAAATATCCTCTTTATGAATTGTTGACAAAATCATGTACAATTCTTTCACATTGAATGGCGCAATATTTTAATTTTAGACACACCTCCAATCTACATTGTATAATCACCAACGTGATATTGCTGGAATATTACGGACTGTGTCTGAGGAACAGAAACACTAATAATACAATTTCCAGAGAGTGCAGAATAATAAAGACCTTGAACTATGAAGAGGAAGAAGAACTACCCTAAGAACACGGTCATACTGTGGTGTGGTATGATTATGGTGGTTGAAGTTGACAGACGTAAGGTTGTGAGGGTGGTGTTCCTTTTCGCCATTAGGAACCTCAAAATAGACGACCAAAATGAAACTGCGAAGGTGTTTAAATACTGGAAATATGAGTTTCCGTTTATCAGCATATATGTCTTTCCATCAATCTCCCTGAGAGGAGACTTTGATGCCCTTGTGCGTAGAAATGGTACACTTCTGCAGGACATTATGCGATTTGAGGCAATGCGTCTGAAGTCCTTCAATGGAGTGACTGTGGCAGTGTCATCCCTGCTGTTAGCCAGAGAAGGGTTCTATGCTACAGGTGATGGGGACGAGACCAGATGCTTCTCCTGTGGCATCAGGTACAAGCACTGGAGACAAAGGGACAGCCCTGCCCAGGTGTGTCATAAGAGATGGTGTAGATCTGGCTATCACAGAAATATTCTTTTTGAAGAAAACCCTTTGCCAACAGATTCTGAGATACAGACTCGTAACCAGCTTGACTTCTCTACTGATTTTGATGTACATTCCCCAAACAGAAGACCGGACGCATCAGATCGTTCACATACCAACCGTGCAGTTTGTCAGAACAACATTGCATCAAGGCGCGTCAACAATCTCACGCCTAGACACCGGTACTCGGATCGCCTTTCAACATACCGATCCTGGGATCGTGATACCAACATCGCTTCACCTAGAGACCTTGCCGAAGCCGGATTCTACTTTTTAGGTCAGTTCCAAATTAATGGAATATCATATGCACGAGTGATGTATGTTTGCTGTGAGATCTCCCATGGGCCCATGACCGCTGGACACCATCACACAGTCTGGCTTTAGGCTTAAGAAGCCCTTTACACATATATCTTTGTCATATTTCATTTACAGACGATAGATCGTTTTCACCCTTTAACCAAAGTAAAATATAGGATATATGATGTTAAAAGTAGGTCGAAGTGACCTACTACTGGTATAGTACGTTTGTTATCTCTTGTCATGCACATGAAACGTCCAATATGTCAAATTGTTATACCACTATCAAATATCTGCTGAAAGAGGCACACATACTTATCACTCTAGGGAGAGCCTTAAAGGAAATGTAAGTGTATAGTTTCATTCAACTACAGTAGGTTGGATCTTAAACGGTATAACCTCGAGCATGAACTTAACACATGTGACAAGGCTTGTCCCTGAAAACGTCGTAGTACGTAACGAAAGCAAAACGTGGCGACAACTTCCAGAAGATATAAAGGACATGTGTAAATCAATTTGCATGTTGTCCCTGTGATAACCTTCAACCTGCTAGAGTGAAATTGATATACAATCTAATTCATGAAACACAACTGAAATGCAAACTAAAATATGCAAATACAATTTGAGCCATGAGAGCTTGATATTTTTCGGGTTTTTTTCAGTAATAGTGTAATCAGTTCATAATGTGATCTTGGAGCATTACCCAAACATGGAACATGTCCATATACTCCTTGGGATTTTGGGTTCCTAAGTGGTAGTTTCTGCTTGTCTCTTTCTCACTGAAATGAACTCTGTGACATTCATTATATTATATGTTGTGTAAAAGCAGAAAGGGTTTCATGGCTTGTCCCCCTCATGCACTAAAGTTTGTGATGTATACTTCGAAGGTAACCTCGACTGTGTCCAATGTTTCGTGTGTGGGATTATCTTGCGGGACTGGCAGCCTGGAGATGACCCGTGGATAGAGCACGTGAGACACAGCCCCAGGTGCAATCACGTAGAGTTTGTGAGAGGACGGCCATACTTCATACAGATCATGATCAATATCGCTAGCAGGGTGCGTGTAAAAGTAAACGATATAGTCATAGAAACGGATATAAGGAAAATTGCAGTAGCGGTTCTAACTGACGTATTACTTACCTCCCCACATATGTATGATGTGTGCCAATATTTTGTCTTTACGCAATGTAATGAACATCCAACTCTATTGAGGTTGGGTGGATGTAACTTGGCACTGGATTCATTGTCACTAGGCCGAAAGCATGGATCGTTGCTTATGCTTGAAACCACTGGCTAGCTGATAAAACTAAAAAATGCTGAAACTAATCACCCTTCTCTTCGAGATTCAGAGCACCCGATTCAAACAAACTGCATATACTTTCAGAATGTAGACTAGGAGTAGTGGAAGTTTTCTTCAATATAAGCTATTTGGCGCATTTGTTATGAGCTAATATGGTGCATGTTGATGTATATATTAAACTTCGATATATCCAAATGTACATGTATGCACGTGGGTGGTAAAAACTGCTCTTTACATTCCTTAGCAAATTGACGAAGGTCAAAACACCTTTAGCCCAAACCGTCAAACGCATGGTGAGTAATCAAGAAACGTCTTTTTTTTTAATTCAGAGAGATCACATTCTCATCAAAATTCGTAATTGTTATATCGTATTTGCCATCCCGTCTAAATCGCTCTTCTCGATAAAATCTCTCACATAGAATACTTTGTTCTAAACTAACGAATGGTTTTCTCTTCTTCAGAGTTGGTAAAGATATTCTGCAGATGTCTAAAACTTGGCTTCAATCAACAAGAAGTTAAAAGTGCAGCACGCCGAGTTCTGGATATACAAGGTAAATTTTACATCTGTGAAATTGCTACACAGCTGTACAATTAAGCATTTTATAAGTGAAATAATTAAGAACCATAGGTTATGGAAGTCGACTTCTTTATTGAACTTCACGTCCATAACACGTCATAGCTTGTATTGGAATATTGCTGGGTGCTGCCTTAAACAATAAACCAACCAAAAATCAGTTGGCCTGGGATGAAAAATAAGGTTTTCGTTCCCACATTTTCCTATTGCGTAAAGGAGGTATCTGTACACAATTTCCAACTGGTAGTAAGCTTGCAAGTGTGTGCGTGAATTGTCAGGGGGTCAAAATTGCATAAATGGAAGGAAAAATGCATAATTTGACAAAACTGGCTGTAACATTGTTATTAAGTCATTAAACTATCAGAATTATGTCTTTGCTTAATATGTTCGGTTATCTGAGTTTGGCAAGCATTTTGTTTCATTTAACTGTTATTCTAATTCTCAGTGAAAGCATTGATGAAAATCATGTTTTTTACTTCATTTTCAAATCTTGTGAGTATAGCACATTAAATTGTGACAGTAGAACCACTACAGCTGGGTATAAAAAGCTTCCTGAACCATTGTACTATCCTATATAGAAAACAAAATGAAAATGTATCACATAGGGCCTGAAATATCGTATACAATGTTACTCCACCCCCCAAAATCCACTTTTGACGAAAATTGCTTAATACTGAGATATGGTGGCAGATAATGTTGATGTAGTGGATGAGTGGAATAATCGCAACAATGCTTAAAAACACAAAAATAGTGAACTCATAAAGAAAAATGATGTTTCAAGTTTTTCTATGAACATTTATAGTGGCCATCTTGAAATTCAAAATGGCCGCCATTTTGACCTTTACAACCATTCATGCCTTTATTCATTCAAAATGCTTCATAGTATGTTCAAATTGTAAATCATAACAACTAACATTTTGTTCGCAAATATGTCTCATATTTCAATGTTTAACTTCAGGAATATCGTCACCGTCTTTAGTTCATCTTATTGATGGCTTGTGGAGGGGAAGGGGCTCGAGTGTAAAAATTCGAAGCAAGGTAATGTGTCGAATGTGTCGGAAGGACGTCGTCAATACCGTATTTCTGCCTTGTGGTCACAAACTAGCCTGCGACAAATGTGCCTCTGAAATGCATAATTGCCCCCTTATCAGCTGCGGAGCAAGGATTGGGGGCTACTTACGTATACTTGTGTAGATGTATGTTCATCTTTATCAAGCGAGAATGTATGTTTTTGAGAAGTCGTTAACAATTACAGCTACAGGTGCTGCAGACTCAATTTTGATGTGAGAGTGGGAATCTGTACAGGTGAATATTTGAAATATGCTTTCAAAATTATACAAAGATTTCGAGTCAAAGCTTCTCGAGAATGCTCAAGGCTGGGGTCTCCAAGTATGAATTGTTATTTACTGTGTAATATGGTCTTAGCACTGCTTTCTTCATTCCAGTAAATTCATTTCTGCGTGAATCTTCTAGTGTTGTTACAGAAAAGGTTACCCGTGAAGATCCGGGTTCGAATAGGTCTTTAGCAACAAATGAATGCCGTAAAAGGCGAGTGGGAGTGGGAGTCTGTACAGGTGAATATTTAATATATGTTTTCCTCAGATATTTACCGCGACATGCTATTGATTTGGTTGGGGTGGGGACTGATAGGGCTTGAAGTGGGAGATGGGAACGTCTTCCCGGGGTGGAGGGGTGCTAGAATCATTGAAATTCCCTTTAATCACGCGATGCCTCAAATGAGATTAATCTAAGGAGGTGTTGTGTTCAAATGCACATCGGAATATGCCGCGAACGAAGCATATTATATATATCATTGGAGAATAATGTTTACTGCTGTCTCCGCATATACCTCCAGTTTGTATCTGGTGTGTTCGCTGCAACTAACCTCTTTTGGCTACACATGACATTTCATACCCAAACTTGTATACTTTTATTAACACTCCCTCATTTCTTTCGTTCAGTGTATTTCCCGAATATAACTGTTTAGTAGCCTCGTTTGGACCATGTTCTTCCGGGCAAATTGCTATATTCCTCACTTCAGTTCAATGTACCTACAATTATTTGTTTGTAGTTACTATTGGAAGGTATACCAATTCACGATCACTGAAAACCATACACTCTCTGTACATGTAATGTCATTGTTAAAAATATGTATGAAACCGCTTCTTTGAGCATATAAGGGTATATGTATAGTTTGTATATAATGTATGAATTGATATTCGTTAAGTCTACCATTAGTTTCGAAGAGTGACAAACATTTGTAATCATATAAAAACAACATATTTATAAAATCATTATGCAGAGAAATCGAAAGTTTCACAATGCCACAAAATTACATAACATGTTCCTGGCATGAGTATGTTACTGTCAGTCGACGATACTATAGATCATTGATCTTGGGTCCCAGGAGATGATGTCTCTTGATACTTATGATATGTCTCCTCAAAATAGAAATGTCACAACCTTCACTTCGTCTTATGAAGTCTTCAATGAAAAATTATTTTAGGCTTATCAGCTGTACAACATAGTAACTGGTGTTTTTATGCAAATCGTACTACCGGTATGTCCTGCTTGCCCTTATCGCTAATAGCTGGTGTCATCAATGATTTTCAGTGATTCATTCATATAATTTTCACATCAACACCCAATGGAATCTATTTCGGCGGATAATCGAGACGTTTTATGTTTATTATCTCCTCGCACTCGTCAACACATATTTTGCACTGTTCGGGTGTTATGGTAGTTTTCATGGCTTCACAAGGTCTAGTCGGCATATTATGTTTCAAGTCAATGTGGTTCAAGTCTACTGTGGATTATATTAAATCTGTTTAACTTGGGGCGATCTTGCAGACATATATGACAATGGGCAGTTACATGTTCCGTTATCATGACCTGTACAACTTTCTTCCACACATCGATGGATAGAAACCGTTCAGTTTTAATTGGGGCACATGTTCTCATTACAGATGATTCAGGAAAATATAAAATGTCAATGCAAGAAAATAACCAGTCTTGATCATCCGTCGAAACAGATTCCATTGTATGTTCAATCTGGTGTTATGGTCTCCGTGATTATGAAATGTACATATTTTGTTTCTATTTTCTATTCTTTTCTTCAGTATTTACTAAAGATCTTTTAGCTAATAAATATAGACATGATATTTTAAATTCCAGTGTTAGTTGTCATTACTATGTACTTCGGAGACGGCATTTTAAACACATGCACTTCAGCGTTTATTTAAATTGGACATATTATAAGAAGTTTATCATTTAAAATTGTACAGTTTTGCATGTTAAAAGCATGCTCGATCAGATAAGGCCAAAATGTGTAAATCTGATTTTTGGCTTTAGATGTATGCATAAAGATTCAGAGTGACAAAACACTCTCACCAATACTGTATGACACAAAGGATGAATTCAGCTTTCCAATAATCAACTTTCCCTTATTGTCGAGCAATATTCTAGCAGCTCCAGCCTTTGGTGTTTACATTTCACAACTTTTGAGATACAAGACTTCAAAGAGCGTCAAACGACTCTTGCTCACAGTTCTTTGATCAAGGTTACAGCATTCAATGGCTCACTAAAGCTTTCACAAAGTTTTATGGTAGACATGTGGAGGACATTTTCAAATTTGACGCATTAGTGACAAAAAGAATGTCCGATGCAGTTCCCTCTTTTGACATGTACCTTAGGTTCCCGTGTTTTTTACAGGTGAACAATTGACATGCCTTTGCATGTGGGCCAGGATATGCTCACCTTTTCGCGAATACCTAGTATCATCACTATGTGTTAGTGTTTCATAAACACATGCTCATGATATCTGCTTTTAGCAGAGGTTTTTTAATTAAGTACACTGGATAAAACATATTTCCCCTAACAACACAAAAACGTCATGATAGCATAGTGCATGTATAAGATCATAATCCAATTTCGATATTGTCTAGTTATGACTGAATATAATACTAAATTTCGATGGTTTCTGGGTTTCTGAACTAAACTGTCATAAGAATAAAAACAGCATGGACAAATGAACACAAAACGAATGTTGTATTATGTTTTCCGAACATAAAATACTATATTGTGATATACGTTGCCAAGTCATGGATACACACAGTTTTACACCCCCAAGTCATGGATGCACACAGTTTTACAGTCATGGATTCAGTGAGTGAGTGAGTTTGGTTTAACGCCGCTTTTAACAGTATTCCATGGATTCACACATTGTTACACCACCAAGTCATGGATACACACAGTTTTACACCGCAAAGTCATCGATACACACATTTTTAAACCACACAGTCATTGTGCTCACAGTCTTACACAGTTTTAGACCGCAACGCCTTTGATGCACACAGTTGTACATCACCAAGTCATGGATTCGAGTCATAGATACACACACTTTACATCACCAAGTCCTGCTTAACACTGTTTACAAACGTTGGCAAGGTCCCTTTAACCAATACACATGAATGTGGCACTTACACAATTTGATTTTTGTAAACATAAAATAATCATAAAATCCAAACAATAAAAATATTTTTTCTTTTAGGTAGAAAATAATCTGTATGTGAGATACTGGCATCAAAACGTTTTAGTGACTGCAATCCTGGTAGCGGCGGGACAACAGCCACCTGTCCTAAACAAGATCTGCAGAGCTAACAGGTCACCGTGACTCTGCCTTAGCAGTGAAGCCCACCTCAAGATACCAGCACTCACAGAAAGGCATGATAGGTCCCGTGTACCGCGTCGATAACAGTCGACAGCAGTTGGCGCGTCGCCATGTATGAGAGGAGGTCGGGAAAACCGAGTCTAAATATAACGTTGACGTGGAGACTGAATTCTGAACAATGAAATCATTATTTGAAAAAGTATAGATACATGCAAAGGGTCAGTTTATGAATGACAAATAGTGCAAAGAATTAACTGCATGCATAACTGATTCTCAAGAACGAAATGCAACTGAAATGTCCCAAAACACGTTATGAAAAGATCATAATCACATTTCAATACTAGTATTGTCTAGTTCTGACTGAGTGAAATACTCAATTTCTATGGTTTATGGGTTTCTGAACTAAACTATCATATGGATGACAAGATCACAGGCAACTAAATATAAAATGAATGTTGTATTTAGTTTTCTGATCATAAAACACAATATTGTGATATGTGGTTCTGTACAATTAAAAAGAGCGTCCTACTTTTAGGCATATGATGTACACAGTAGTACACAGCTAAACCAGGGGTACACAATTGATGTACACCACCAAGTCATGGTTGCAGTGTTTTACACCACCAAGCCAAGAAAACGTTCATTTTCGAAAACCACAAAGTCATGGTTGCAAACAGTTTACATCAGCACTACATGGTTTCACACAGTTTTACACCGCAAAGTCATCGATGCACACAGTTTTACACCGCAAAGTCATGGCGTCACACAGTCTTACACCACCAAGTCATGGATTCACACATTGTTACACCACCAAGTCATGGATGCACTTAGCACTTCATGGTTGCACAGAAGTTACATCAGCACTACATGGTGGCACACATATTTCATCAGCACTACATGTTTGGTTACAATTTTACACCTCCAAGTCCTATATACACACAGCTTTTCACCACAAAATCAGCACGACATGGATGCACGCAGTTTTACATTACCAAATTATGGATGCACACACTTTTACATCACCAAGTCATGGTGTACACAGGTTTAGACCACCAAGCCATCGATAACCACATATTTACACCAGAACAACATGGATGGCTGTACACAGTTTTACACCACCAAGTTATGGATGCACACAGTTTCAGACCACCAAGTCATGTTGCATACAGGTTTAGATCACCAAACGATGGATGCACACAGTTTTAGACAAGTACAAGAAGACTTGACACAGTTTTACACTACTAAGTCATGGATGCACACATTTTCACATCTCAAAGTTATTGATGCAAACAGTTTTAGTTCACCAAGATATGGATGCATACAGTGTTAGACCACCAAGTCATGGATGCACACAGTTTTAGACCGCAACGCCTTTGATGCACACAGTTGTACATCACCAAGTCATGGATTCGAGTCATAGATACACACACTTTACATCACCAAGTCGTGCTTCACACCGTTTACAAACGTTGGCAAGGTCCCTTTAATCAATATACATGAATGTGGCACTTACACAATTTGATTTTTGTAAACATGAAATAATCATAAAATCCAAACAATAAAAATATTTTTTCTTTTAGGTAGAACATAATCTGTAAGTGAGATACTGGCATCAAAACGTTTTAGTGACTGCAATCCTGGTAGTGGCGGGACAACAGCCACCTGTCCTAAACAAGGTCTGCACAGCTAACAGGTCATCGTGACTCGGCCTCGGCAGTGATACCAGCACTCACACAAATGATAGGTCCCGTGTACCGCGTCGATAACAGTCGACAGCAGTTGGCGCGTCGCCATGTATGAAAGGAGGTCGGGAAAACCGAGTCTAATTATAACGTTGACGTGGAGACTGAATTCTGAACAATGAAAGCATTATTTGAAAAAGTGTAGATACATGCAAAGGGTCAGTTTATGAATGACAAATAATGCAAAGAATTATTTGCATACATAACTGATTCTCAAGAATGAAATGCAACTGAAATATCCCAAGACACGTTATGAAAAGATCATATTTCAATACTAGTATTGTCTAGTTCTGACTGAGTAAAATACTCGATTTCTATGGTTTATTGGTTTCTGAAATAAACTATCATATGGATGACAAGATCACAGGCAACTAAATATAAAATGAATGTTGTATTTAATTTTTTTATCATAAAACACAATATTGTGATATATGGTTCTGTACAGTTAAAAAGAGCGTCCTACTTTTAGGCATGTGATGTACACAGAATTACACAGCTAAACCAGGGGTCATGGTTGCAGTGTTTTACACCACCAAGCCAAGAAAACGTTCATTTTTGAAAACCACCAAGTCATGGTTGCAAACAGTTTACATCAGCACTACATGGTTTCACACAGTTTTACACCACCATGTCATGGATGCACACAGTTTTACACCACCAAGATATGGATGCACACAGTTATACACCACCATGTCATTGATTCAATCTGTTTTACACCACCAAGATATGGATGCTCACAGTTTTACATCACCACGTCATGGATTCAATGTGTTTTACACCACCAAGATATGGATGCACACAGTTTTACACCACCAAGATATGGATGCACATATGTATGTATCAAGTATGTAAAGTAATTCTGGTAGATAAGGACTTTGTTCATGAGTCAACGTCTTCTTCTTCTTGATAATCAGTCGTACTGGAAATGTATGCCATCCGTTCATAAATGCATCAATATTATATCAACCACTGATGAATCTAATATTAAAATATGTCTAAATAGTTAGAAAGAAATGTACCCATGACAAATACTACTGAGTATAAAACTGTATAGCATGTGATATTTTATATGTTCCTGAATCATCTGTAATGAGAACATGGGCCCCAATTAAAAGTGAACGGTTTCTATCTATCGATGTGTGGAAGAAAGTTGTACAGGTCATGATAACGAAACACGTAACTGCTCATTGTCATATATGTCTGCAATATCGCCCCAAGTTAAACAGATTTAATATAATCCACAGTAGACTTGTTGATAATACGTGTACTGATACTGTGGTAAGCAAGGCGTACTTGAGTATCCTAAACACTGATCAAATGCTCACAAAAGGGCTAAAATCAGCATTCTTAGCATGGGTGCACATAATTAGCCAAGTTGGTTCTCTGATGTGGCGGACATACAGGTCACGGGCCAGCTAATTCAACCACCCACGTAAGCACATTTCCTCGATTACATTCGGGTCTAAATCGTGTCGATTGCGATCCTTTTATCCGTTGCTATACGTCACTGTTGACCTCTTTCTGTGAGCTATCGACAAGATAGGTTCGTGTGCAAAATATTCATGTTCCGGGTCAGAGTCCGCCGCCTTGTATTTGTGTTAATTGTATTCAGGTAAGATTCTTGAAGAACAATGAGGTCCCACGGTGTGTTGGATCTCTCTCTATATATATCTCAATATCCACTAGTGCTTGTCTGTTTAAACACACGACGGGATATCGGACACCAAATCCTTTTGAAATCGCATTCAAGCTCATATACGTCACTATCTTATGCACATAAACAACCTCATTTCAAATATCACATATATTATGGTGTATATAACGATTTGTTAAGATACTTTATTACCGTTACATAAGCTTTAAGCTCTATTCTGGTTACTTCCTTAACTGGCTGGCTGTCGTGTGACAGTCCATATTCGCTGTGGGGCAGATGGTCTTCCTGTTTCAAGGGATAAGCAGTGACATGCTTATTTGTAAACATTTATCCTGTTTATTTAAACCGGGAAATCGTTTACAATTGTAAAGACACATCCGACAACACACATTCCTGGTATTTCGTATCCTCGAGCAAGACCCCTTATACTCGTTAATCTTACTGAAAATACAAAGTCATGTTTTTATTTCAGCTCAGCCACAAACCATACATCATAACATGGCGCCTGTTTTGGGCAAAACTGAGTCATTGAGAACAATAGAACAAAGAGGGGAAATGGCTAAGCCAGAACAGTTTATTAATTTCCCTAGTTTGCTTTTATGTCTTCGTTTTCACTAAGAATCGAATATAACAACATTAAATGAGTCAATATCGCAGTGAGTGGGTGTTATATTTTTCAAACGTTGTATGCCATACTCAAAGGGCAAGCGGGAAATGTCGTTCAGCGGGGTCATATGTCGCAGTGACATTTATCTCTTGGAGACGTTGTTAACTGGGTTAGACGGGTTCGAGTTCTCACTACACTCTTTTAAAGATTTTTTTGTGATACATGCAAGAAAGAGGCAAGAGGCTTGTTATAGTCCACTGAAAGAATACTCTCAAAACATGCATTAAACGGACATTGTGCAAGTGTGACATTTTTATCAGTAGAAATAGTGATAGACTTTTTTTCACATCATTATGTAGCCAGATGCTGGCCAAGAAAACAGTGTGAAAATGTAAAGTTAGTTTTGAGCTTAATTAAAAAAATTGAGGTCTGTATTGGTGCAAATCCAAACGAATCTTAAAAGCGTTAACGAGGAGTCGCGTCTTAATTACCACGGCGCCTAATGCGCGCCGTTTTAAGATAAACATCGATTGATGTATATCCCAATTGTGTGGATTGATGCTCATGATATTAGTCACTGAATTGTCTGGTCCAGACTCGATTATTTACAGACCGCCGTCATATAGCTGGAATATTGCTGAGTGAGGCGTTAAACAACAAACAAACAAATTCACTCAGCCATGTGTATAGTGTAGTGTATCACGTTAACAAGTGACACGAACTCACATAGACTAGAACATGTTGATTCATCTTTTTTTTGTAGTACTATTTCATGACTACAACGGGATATTGTAATTTGAAGAAAATACACTAACCAATCTTAGTTTTACAAAAACTTGTGATCCGTGCGTCCATTTATGCAACTAAACGGGTAGTTTCTGGCATTAATGTTTTAAACCCGAACCAGCAGCGAAGTTAACGCAACTTTTCTATAAGTTTGCTCATTGGTAATCTATATCATTCTGATAATAAACAACATGTCTGGATAAGAAATGTGGGGCAAATGCTAAATTATTGTGATCTGTCTTATTTATTTTATGACACACAAAGCTTTTCAAGCCAGCGGCGCAATAAATTCTCGGGTAAGAGAGAGTTCTATCAACATTGGAAATCTGACGTCGAGAGAAGTTCAAAATGTTATTATTATAAATATTTAAAAGATCTCCCGTCATTTGAAAACCTTTCCTCCTATCTAAACACATTTGTTATCCTATTCTGAGATAGAACCATAATCAGAACGTGTAACCATAAGCAACCTGTCGAAGTTGGTGTAGATAGAGAATTTAGGACATGCAAACCGTGTATGTCGCCCGCTGTAGCCGATGAATCTATCATTGGTAATGTATATATCTGTTTCTATCTGAATGAATCTATCTGTTTTAAATGTGAAGCTCTCCAGGATTCCAGATCCACATGTATCTCAAATAGATATACGTAGTTTCCTGATATCATAAAACACATGTTGAGTACTAGAAATGTGACAGAAATCCAGAACGTTGCAAATTTCATATGTATAATAGTTAAGTACCTTTGAATGTTACTGTATATGTGGGTGCTGAATCTGAAAACTGGCTTCTTAATTTTTGTGTTTCTGTTTAAATGTTGATACAAATTTTCAAAGAAAATGTTTAAATATCGTTAAATATTTGTACAGTATAACCGACATCTTGTTAAATACAAATTATTATCATGTAAAGAAACTTTTCTCCTGTACTACCGTGGGTGGTTCTTTTTGAGAAATATAATGATTAATTGATTGAATATTGGGATCATCCTGGTTACTTCAATCACAGGTTCAAACATGTTGGGGAGTGAGTGAGTGAGTGAGTGAGTGAGTATGGCGTTATGCCGTTTTGCCGTTTTGTTTTAAACATATTTTATTGACATATATGGTCAACGGGATTGGGCAAAAGTTATCCAACTTAGGTGGCCCTTTCCCTACTCTATATGTACAGACATTGATTATACATATATATACACATATTCATACACACATACATAAACATACGTATACAGAAATACATACATATACACATATTCATACATACTCAGAAATACTGCTGTAAAAGGCGACTATGCTTGTCGTAAAAGGCGACTAACGGGATCGGGTCGTCAGGCTCGCTGACTTGGTTGATGCATGTCATCGATCCCAATTGCGTGGATCGATTCTCATGGTATTAATCACTGGATTGTCTGGTCCAGACTCGATTATTTACAGACCGCCGTCACATAGCTGTAATATTGCTGAGTGCGGCGTAAAACAACAAACCAAACCAAAAAAATACTCATACATACATACACATACTCATATACATATGCTCATATTACATTTTTAGTAACAAAGAGAAATATTTTTACACAAGAACATAAACAAATGTTTGCAAGAATAACATACATACGAATTGCCTATATAAACACAATTTACTTGTATATACACATTAATCCAAAATACATGCAAGACTACATATGTAATTACACAATCATACATACACTTATATACATGTACATATATGCACACATACACACACTGCATACATACACATATACCCTTGTATACGCATGCATACATATATATACATACGCATACACATATTTACACACATACACCAGGATAAAGATTTCCCGTAAAAATTATGCTTACAGAAGGAGGCAGAGATACCCATGTATTCATATACATGCATGCATGCAGTTTATACACTGATGGCGTAATTGATAATAAGTGGTCGCAGAGCGATATTCTATATTTATGATAAAGGGTAAGTCGAATCTATTAGTATATGCCGTTTTAGCAACATCCCATCAATATGATGAAGGGGACACCAGAAATGGGCTTGTACATTGGGGTTCACTTGATTTTCTCCAACAGAAATCCCCAGTTAATCTTCCAATATTCGCATTCCATGATAACTCGAAAACAAAGAAAAGTCGTACAACAAAAAACAAGGAAGACAATGTTTGGATGTCAGCTTTTTTATTATGAGGAACACAACGTTTCGGATCGCCACAGAGGTAAGCATGTATTTTGAAACGTTGTGCTCCTCATAAAAAAAATAGTTGACAACTATAAATTCTCTGCTTTGAAATGTGACAAATGCCATTTATATAACAAATTGAGGCCACTATTCGGTGAGAAATCGATGTGCAAACATGCTATTTCTTCAGTTGCGTTTATTATTTACGTTTTGGTATTTTGATGCTTATAATTATGTGTATCACTTCTAAATGCCTTTCAAAGGCTTCACATGGCCCTTGTTGAAAGAAAATTGCGTATATTTTAATTCTTTAATCCCACCCATTCGAAGGAAAATACAGTGTACAAATGGTTAGTGTTTATTTGTTGATAAGATAATGTCTAAGAGTTAAAAAGAGTGAAGAATGGGGTTGCTTTGACGAGAACGTGTGCAGTCAACCATGACAGTGAACGGAACATAACTTGCGGGCTCGAAAACGAACAGAAGGGCAGGCTTGTTGTGCGATCAAACGTGTAATTTTAGAGGAAATTACCTCCACCATGAACATTTCTGGCACCTCTATATGCGCCTCCGCTATATTTTCGTTCAGTCCTTGAAATAGATAGACAGGGCTAAAGTGCTTATAAACCTTATTTACGCGCGGCTTTAGATGTTTTTAATCCGATATTTGCATCAATAATGTTACGATCTATCCATTTCTGCAAAGTTGTATACGTCCATGAGACTTTTAAATCGTATTTCGAGTAACCAGAGAGCATGACTGGAATTACTCACGTTTCACAGTTGTAACCCTTGATACAATGGTACAGTGGTCCCAGATTAAAAACGTTAGTACATATTCTAATAACGCAAATGGACAAAGACCAGCCTTTCTTGTCAACATGTGTTGTTTTCCCAAACTATTGCAATTATCCCATTACAACTGCGGCAATATGGAGAAGAACAGAAATTTATCTTGTATGGATATAGTTCTATATATTTCTGATCGAAAAATAATCCCACACATTCCTTTATCTTAATTATGCTATGGACCAACCATAATGGATATTCATTCTTTATTGCCATTAATAACTTTTATCTGGCATATTAAGATATTCAAGCCTGGGGGATCACCAGAAATGAGAGAATACCGGATCTTGGTTAGTGAAATAGCTTTAACCACTATTCAGACTCTCACTCCTCTTCCACTTCTCGGGCACCCCCAAGATTACTGCACTCCCAAAAACACGTATGTGGCTGCAATTACCTATATATAATATTATATCTTTTGCAGTAAATACAGGAGCTGCCTGCATCCTGGATATCTGAAAGAGACATCATGGCACCAAAAAATGAGGTCGGTGCACCCCAACTATCCAGAAAGGCACATACTGCTGACTCTGGAAACATCTGTGTAGGAAGTGTAGACAGAGTAACAGAAAATCCAGGTGTAATACGGCAATCATTGACCACAACTGATCACAATGTACACAGCTATGAAACACCTCTTCAAAGCATGGAACAGTATTCTGATATTGATCACATGACCACCAAAGAATGTGGAAAGAGATTTGTCGTTAGTTTCGTGAATACTTTGTCACACCATGGTTCTGCTTTGAGTAGTTTGGAACAGGATTTAACAAGTACAACAGTTGAACAAAGATCACATGGCGAGGCACAACCTTATCTTGAAACTCTTAAAGAAAAGGTTCACAAGCAAAGGAAAGGAGAACAGAAGTTTAAAAATTCTTTTTCTCTTGCTGTAAGTTCGCAAACATTGCGTAAATTACGATCATGTGAAAGAAAAGATCAACATGATTTAAGTAATATTTCGATGGGAAAACAGTCTAAAGTTTCCAGTAACTATTGTATTGCTCATAATCGTGATCTGAAATCAAGCATGAAACCATCTGTTCATGCAACCAAACAAAACAAAATTCTCGAAACTACCGACATAACATACTCGAAAGAGACATTTAATATAGACTCAGACAAACACAGAGGTGATGAAGAGGAACAGGTAGAACAACCTCAGCGTACTAAAGAGAAAAAGAAAAAACTCTTTGATGCAGTTCACAGGGCTGTGCATGATGTTCCTTATGATACTGATGAGGTGGACAGATCCTCGGCTGATAAAAAATATAAAGAAATTATTGATGATTTGAAGTATGCAGTATTTCATGGTATGTTAGAAAGATCCCATGTTACGTCCCCTTTTGTTTCTCTTCATGATTATTTCGCTAAAAAAGCTAAAAATGAAGCACTAACAAATGAGGAGCAAATGAGGTGTGAAGGTTTGCGTTTGAAGTCTTTTGACCAAGTGGACATGAGTGTCTCATATCTTCGACTGGCAGCAGCAGGGTTCTATGCTACAGGTAATGGTGATGAGACTCGATGTTTCAGTTGTGGTGTAACCAACAGTAATTGGCAAACAAAGGATAACCCGCACATCCTGCATGCAATGATTTCTCCAAACTGCATCCATGTAACTGGCACTGATGAAAGGAATGTGCCTATTCAGGTGCCAGCAGTAAGTGATACAGGTCATGAACCACAATTCAGAAACGGGAGCAATCCCGAGACAAGAGAGTCAGAGAGTGTCTCTAATGGCAGTGTCCCTTCGGAACTATTAGGAGCAGTAGGTACATCAAGGAACCATACACCAGTAACGACTACTAATAGTTCCAGTCCACAATCTTATACAACTCAACAAACGACAAGCACTTGCAATGTCATTGTACCAACATCAATACTTACATCAAGGTTTGACAGTGCTGTTCATCCTCACTATAGCAACAAAACTGTCCGTCTCAAATCCTTCCAACAGTGGCCTGATGGGCACAGTCAGCAACCCGAAGACCTTGTAGACGCAGGGTTTTTCTATGCTGGTAAGTGTTATTTAACAAAACGTATAGGTCAAATATACAGATTCAAATATTATAAATGATATGTCTCATTTTTGTAATGACCATAATAATGTATGATACTTCTGAACAGGCTACTCTGACTGTGTGCGGTGTTTTGTCTGCGGTGTTGGTCTGAGGACCTGGGAGGAGGGGGATGACCCCTGGGTGGAGCACGTGCGCTGGAGGTCATCTTGTGCCTATGTAGAAGCCGCAAGAGGGATGACTTTCATCATTAAGACACTGGCAGCAATTGGAAGGTCCATGAAGGCCGACCCACAGGTGAACAGCTTTCCTGGTATGGCATCCATACCAGTTTCCCCGACTTGGTTGATGCATGTCATCGTATCCCAATTGTGTAGATCGCTGCGCATGATGTCAATCGTCGGATTGTCTGGTCCAGATTCGATTAATTACAGAATATAGCTGGAATATTGCTGACTTAAAATCTATCTATTATAAATTATAAATTATCTATCTTATATTATAACAGGTGTTATGTGTAATGTTGCTGCCACATTAGCAAGAATAACTTAGCATTTTTGAAAAAACGTTGCTGTCTTCTGTCTCTCAAGGTATTCGTACATGTGAATTAAATGAATTAAGCATGTTGAAGGAGTTTTAAGTTAGCATGTGAGTATCTTATCCTTACTTACTACTCCAACTTCTAAATGCCTCTCAAAGAAGTCACATGTTAGTGTTTTTATCGTGATTGGTTTTCCTCTAAACTCTGATAAACTTTCTGATGTCTTGTAGATGTGGGGGTGTTGTGTGATTACACATAATTTCAATATATATTTTATTATAGTCTCGTCAACATCAACAACAGTCTTTGAATGACTTGAAAGCACAGAACAGTTCTGAAGATGGTAGGTTCTAAAACCCCAAATTCGTACCACATCTATCATACCTGATGTTCAGTGTAGTTGAGTACATCTGATTTGATGGCGAATGTCCACTGGTTTGCAACAAGCATGTGTTCATTCCCTCGATACACACACCAACAAACATTGACAGTAATTTTCAATTATTATAAGGAGTCAGCTTTTGATAAGAATTATTAATATAATATAGGGCAAAATAACCCCTGTCGTCATTTGGCAAAACCATTATTTTGTTACAGATATTATGAGGACCGACCCATGCCAACGAGCTTTAGAGATGGGTTTCAGCCCAGAACAGATTAGATCTGTAGCTCAAACAACTATGAGAAGTAGAGGTGAGTTTGTTATTCTACTTATGGAGGGATCAGGTCTTGTACCTATATTCAATCAAGTCAGTGTAATTTGTGACATGTGATATAACCAGTAATCACTAAAGTTTTAATTGGTTGTTTGAATAATCTAACCCAAATAGAACAGAGGGCTGCAATTTTCTATCTCTAGCGCATCAAACGTTATGCGATGGTATGGAATAATTACATTATCCTTGCCTTTACAGGAACATTGGCTTTGGAATTAGATGTTCTCCTGGACAATATTCTAGTAATTGATGGAGACGGTTCAGAACTGACACCATCTGCTCAAGGGAAAGGGGAGGTGACCATCCCTCAGGTGCAGACACGGAATGAAAGAGTGGAGGGTGCAGAGGGCAACATGCATTGTCAAGTACCGCTTAAAGACATATCAAGCATACCACCTCTACCATTGGGGACAAGACATGCTGATGGAAATCAAGACAGTGGATATATGTCATCTGAAGTGAACCCAGATGCCGTGGCACCACATAGTATTGTAACTATCTCAGAGACAGCAGACAGGGTGAATATGGGTGACAATAATCATCAATGTGAAGTACTGTCAGGAAACATTGCTGCCAAGGAGTCGACATTGTTAGACAATGAAAGAAGAAAGAATGGAAGGGATCATGACTCAAATTTTTCTGTGAATGGTTTCCTAAGTTTGCCAGTCCCCAGTCAAAGAATAAAGGCAGAGAGGAAAAGACACGGTAAACGTATTGCAGATACTGTATATTGTAGAGGGCACCTTAGGGCTTCTTTTGTAGAATAGGATTGGTTATTTTGATTATGTAATACATTATGCAATATAGATAACAAACCAAACGGTGAGGTGAGGTGAAATTTGGTTTATCGTCGCGTCCAAGATTATTGCAGTTATATAACGACGTGCATGCACGTGTGTGTGTGTGTGTGTGTGTGTGTGTGTGTGTGTGTGTGTGTGTGTGTGTGTGTGTGTGTGTGTGTGGCTGCTTGTACTAGTCCGGACTGATGCCGATTTATAGTGCTAGCTCACTGAGATACCATGCCGCAGTTTAACATGAATACCCCCCTCAGACGCAGTATACTGACTCCGAGCCGACCAGTCCTTGTTTTAGCCACTTTATGACGAGCGCCAGATAGGGTAACAAACAAACCAAGAGAATCGTTAGTGAAATGCTAAACTTTGAGGAAACTTGATGTCGTTGCTCCACATACCTTGTTCGCCTTGCTAGAGATCACTTCTAAATGTTAGGCTACATTCTTTATTGCAACCTTGATTACGCTTTCACATGTTTATTCATCTCGAATGTTATTTCCACAAATTAAACAACAATAAACGTGTTTAAATATGTCAGTTGATGATTTGATCTATCTTACTCTATTTCTTTTAAAAGTCTATCAACATCGAAGATTGTATTGTATTTAATTATCGCTTTCTTTCCTTGTAACATGTTCGCTAAATGGTTTAATTAATTGAGGCCATGAACCTACATGATTGCTCAATAATGTTTTGGTCTGTGACAGATAAAACCAAGAACCAGTTAAAGGCTACAAAAGAAGAGACACAGCAGCTGAGAGAGTCAAGTGCATGTACATGTAAGATCTGTCTGGAGGACCCTGCCAACATCGTCTTCCTCCCATGTGGGCATATGGTGGCCTGTGGCGTGTGCTCGCCGGCTCTGGAACGTTGCCCAGTCTGCAGAAAACACATTCGGGGAACCGTTCGTGTCCATCTGGCAGATATGGCTTCTCGAGAGAAACATATCAGCAATATTTAAATATTAACCTCTGTGTTATCTAACGGTGGATTACAATGAAAAGCAAACGATTTCTGATCTTGATTGACGTCTTCATTCCGCGTGGGTAGCTGGCGGCCTGTGCCGTGTGTGCACTAGCTCCAAAACCAGTCTGCAGGGAACACGTCTTGAGAACTATCTGTGTCCATCTGGCATACATGGCTTCTTGGCAGGAATGTATTAAGATTTGGAGAAAAAAATATCCTCAATTTTATTCTGGCTGCCATACACATTGTGAGTTTCAAAGAAATAACAATGTTTGCACATTCCTTTGTGACATATCACATGCCTGCATACAACAAGAAAAAACTGCGTGTCCCGTGCTACAACCCATGTCATATTGTTTGTAAGATAGGTTTGCATATGTTTTGCTCATTTGTATTGATACAACGCTCCTTCCACCACAGTGACATATTACTACCCCCTTTGCGTGCCTCCTTAGTTTTGAAAATCCATTCATCCTAACTGTTATGTGGCAGGACACATTGCAACTCTATTTCTGATGATAGTAAATGGTAAATTGAGCGTGGCTCTCATCACCTACCTGTACCGGAAGTGTTAGTTGGGGCGACCCCATTAATCGGTTTTGTTGACACTTTGACAAACGCTATCAATCTGGACGCTTCCCATGGTTACTGTTTCTATAACTTCAAGGCTGACTATTCCTTTACCTGTACCGAAAGTGCGAGACGAGGGTGACTGAAGGCATTCCGAATACTACAACCTGAGTTAGGTCTATCTACATGCCCACTGTGGACGGGATTACCTTCGCCTGCCAGTGTCCAACACTGATTCCCAGATTCAAGATATTCAAATAGACAAATACTGGATTTGGAGTGAGTGAATTGGGACCTTAGATATAATGGTATTGCTGATGCACATTGTATCACATGTTTCACTCATTGTATTGCCTTTATGTTTGTAAACCTTAACCTGTGTATTGCGATATATAGAGGATTCATCACGAGTGTTTTTTAATATGGGAAATATCAACCGAGTCTTAGTTAATCGGTATTTGCCGAGCCTTTGGCGAGGCAAATACCGATTAACGGGACGAGGTTGATATTTCCCATATTAAAAAACACTCGTGATGAATTCTATTTATCATTTTCACATTTTTGCTTCCAAATTAAGGAATAATTGCATTAAACATTAACATCAGCAACTTGTCGAAATCTTACGTATAGATCGTGCGTAGTGATACATGTTTTCCATAGCCATGTAAACCAAAAAAAACAATTCGCTGAGAAAAAAAGTTCCTCGGATTATTTTAAACAAAATACTTGAACAGACTTTTGCAGAATAATTGAAACTTTAATAACGGTAACAACAACGATTCTGTGTAATCTGATTATATCTCTGGTGTAACTTCACTTATAATATATAGTTTCAAATCAAACCGCTCGCTCTTCCGGTTATCTAATTTGCATATCTAATTTGCATACTTATGTCATTGGGGTATGACATACATGTTTTTATGTCATAAGCTTATGTCATGGATAAATGCTTAAGTTAAATGATAAAATTAATTTATGGTGCATTGATCTTGTATGGTTATTTAGCGATTTCACAATCTATTCCTGTACATACTGGTTTCTTTGTTAACCATAACGTTTACATTTTAGAATTAATATTTACACTAACTGAGGACTGTTATTGGGACGTCTGTGTCAGGAACTTTGATGTTTGTTCCACTGTATATCCCATGTCAGATATATGGTATTGTGTCATCAATGATTGTAACTTTTAATAACATGAATATTGATTTAGAATACAATATGTAATAATTGCAATGGGTTCGGGTGTATCTTCTATTCCTGATGAAGGAAACGTCCTTGTTCTTGGACGCAGACAAAGACGTGGAGTTGTGTAATAACGAGTGAGGAAGTTGAGTTTAACACCTTTTTGAGAGGTGTTCTTATGCCGATAAAGAAGTAGGAGAAGGAGAGACGCCAAATCAATTGAACTTACTTGAAAGCAGATGAGAAACAGATAGTTATGTCTTCAGTTACCATATGGCTTTATCTGAATCTGCTGACATGGATATGGAACATGTTAGGCCCTAGCGATCCCTAATAAAGTAAATTTTGTATACGTTCCTATATCTGTGTTGTAGTATCGCCGAGCAGGCTTCATCATATGCATACATTTCAGTATGTACAGCCTTATAAGGCGATGCGGTACGCGAATTGTGAAGGTCTTATGCAACGTAAAGTTGCCCTTAGCCTCAATGTTGTGAATATTGACATCAACACATGTAAGTATTTGTCAGATATTAAATATAACAGAGAGCAATGAGAACTGTTCTCAAGAAATTGTAAGAGTAACAGTCACTGTTATCAACTAGATATCATGATACAATGTTCAAAACAAAAGTAATGGAAATCACTGAACTCTGTTTGATATAAGGGTTAATTGGCGCATGTTGTATAAAATTGAATTTTACAAAGTAGAAAAAAACAAGTTTCTGACACAGAGGACCCTATATATTAGTTATACAATTTTTATAAAATAAAACAATATATTCATACTAATTGCCAATCTCTATAATGTTGATTGTATTAACATTGCAGTGTCTACAACCAGTTTGCATTGACAATAATCATATGATTGTAACACAGATAAAGCTGATTCTTAACTTCATTGGGCCTTGCTTCTTATGTTTCCTTGTTATAAACCGATGTTTCAAATTCCAACATAAACACATTATCAATGTTATTTTTTGTCTATTCACACCAACAGATATCTGCATTGCACAATGACTCTTATAATTTTATTTAATATCTCAGCTTACTGGTGCACGTGTACTAGTATTTGATTACACATGCATGACTTTTCAGGAGTCATCTGTTTCTGAAATGAATATTATGCTAATAAAGATAAGTAACATAAAAAGGACTCTGGTATTCTTTCACGTTTGGAGAATCATTCAATTCATTGGGAAAACATTTTTAATTTCTTGCAGAAGTTACTTTCATCTTGATAAGATCAAAATAGATCCAAATTAAATTGAGGAGATTAAATTATGCAGTCTGGTTCATTTCAGCCAGGCTGTCTAAAATCAGGTCCTATTTTTCAGGCAATAATAATCGAATGAAAATTTAAGAAAACATATACCTTGCCTGAGTGAATCAGTCAATATGCACATTGACTAAAATGTTCAGTCAATATACATATTGGGCCTGTTTATAGACACGGACTGTAACATATGTAAGTATAATCTGTTATATGCAAAAACAAATGACATAAATAAATCCATATTTATCTACATGGAATGATTGTTGGGTTCAATTTGCATTTATTTAACCATCAGAAGATTTGATGATAAACTTTCTAGATTCATATTTGCTATATGATAATAATATCTACAAAATATACTTTATATTACAGGTGTCTTAAAATATTGTTGAATGAAAATCAGGATACTTAGATGCATCAGGATAGTGTGTTGGAAGGTATAGGAAATAATTTGTGAACATTAAAATAAATATAATGTTACTAAAACAAGAAGATAAAACTATCATTTACATCTATTTATGCATCATACACATTTTGTGGGGCAGGAAGTATGATTTGTTGTTTGTTAGGACAAATCTCTGTAATTTACTACTATTTTAAGAGCATGAGTATCAGAATTCTGTAAGAAATGATGGATCAATGAATTAACACCTGTGATGACTCAGAGCACTTATATAATGGTGGGACACATGTTATAAGGGGCAGAAAAATATGGGTAGATCTTTTTTTTCAAAGTTTGATGATTAGTATGTATATTGCAACTGAGTAATTGAGTGCTTAATAGATGCATGGAAGATGGAAATCGATGGTATGTACGGTATGTATGAGCGTCTCCTAGTGGTAAGCTGAACTTATGTGCATAAGGAAACTAAACATGAATATTTCAAAGGTTCAAAGGTTAGTAAAATAAAAAGATTAGGACCTCATGGATTTCCCATATCATACACAGCCTCGGTCTGAAATGGGTGTCTCGGGATATGGCATACGTCAGGCCGCCACGTCTGTTTTATAAATAGTAATTTCAATTCACGAAGTGAACAAGCCATGACGTGTATCTAATTGTATCATGTTTATGTTTGGTACCTCCGATCCGGTCTACTTAGACACATACTCTATTATTATTATGAACATGTAGCTGTTAGCAATATAGAATGTCTTGTTAACAATAATTTATCATTCATTATCCTGCGATATCACAAATCATGTTACTGAAACAATTTGTGCTGACACCCCCTGCACATATACTTATTGTGCTTTCAAGTAATCGAGGGTCCAATAAAAACAATTGTTCATACACACCATTACCTCCATACTTCCTGCTGGTCCGTGAAGATCCGGGGTAGAATAGATCTTCAGCAACCCACGCTTGCCGTAACAGGCGACTCTGCTTGTCGTAAGAGGCGACTAACGGGATCGGGTGGTCAGGCTCGCTGACTTGGTTGCTGCATGTCATCGTATCCTACCCGATGCTCATGACATCAATCACTGGGTTGTCTGGCCCAGACTCGATTATTTACAGACCGCCGTCATATAGCTGGTATATTGCTGAGTGCGGCGTTTAACATCAAACCAACCAACCTACTTTCTGCCAGACTGATATGTCATAATGGCTGTATGCTGTATTAGCATCATCTGCGTCTATTTCTTTGCAAATATATATGACCATACAGGTCTGTGTGTTCAAAATACATATAAAGCCACCGAAGATCGTTTGTTCATCTTAAGTTTTGTCTAGTAGCTTTTAAAGATGTGAATAATCCTAATCATATTTTTATACCACCAGGAAGAACAACTTGCTAAGGTTTCAAACATTGCAATTTTAAAGCTGCAAATATGTTATGAAAGTTATTTGAATATCTGTGATAATGTGTTTTAGGATAATGCTATCCACACTTTCAACATAACGTTTAGTAGTTTGCAGAAAAGGATTGTTCAATAGGATAGTTCTTACACGGAGCCTAAAGGGAAAATAATATGAGGTGATAAATGTAGATTTTCATATCAAATTCACGATGTCATACAATATAAAATAACGTTTGTGGAAGCATGTGTATGTAATCAATAGCACACAGCAAACGCTTGCCTGTGTACCTGTACGCCTAGAACTCGTCTCTCACCCTGGTGATTCCCTACAGGTTAAAATAAACACACGTCATTTCTAGTTTCGCTCTCGAGTGAGGCGACGACATTTTGTTTTATTTGAATGAGGCCTACCATTTGTGGTAAGATTAAGACTTGTTAGATGTTGTTTGAAAGAGACATTAACGCTAAGAATCTCGTACCCCCTATACTCAGGTAGTCGTGGCACGATACACACTGTGAAACTGGCCCGGTAGCGTGGCGTTAGTTAATTCGCAATACTGTACCTCGAAAATATCATATATTTACAGGCCAGTGATTTGATACATTAGACGTTCATGTTTGTTCTCTACGACCTCCATAACACCTTAAATCATTCAAACGCTATTGTCGTTATTACAGTCTTGGTATCCCTATTTGTCCGATAACGTTTCCATTTATTTACATATTGATGTTGGTTACCTCCCTTTAGCTGTGCTCTTACTTCGAGTACATACATGCTATAATACTACATGCATAGTTGCCATCTATTTCGCTTGAGGTTATCGTTGTTTGTAGCTCCCGCCTCAATCCCCGCTCTTTGCACACCCATCCAGGAAAATGGTTTGAATTCATACTGAATTATTAATTATGCAATGTTATATCCATTTGTGGGAGATTCGACAGGAACTCTAGCTGCCCGCCTGTTATATCATTACATTTGCTAATTGCATTATGTTTTGCATTTTTGAGCGTGGTTCTGTAGAATGCAGTTGAACGAAATATGGCGGTGTGCTTAAAAAGGTCAGATAACATGGTGCATAAAAGTGTCCTGATTGTCCAATTTCAATTGGCACTTTGAGGTTGTTTGAAAAAGGCCAGTGCTGAAGCGAAATGGGAACATGTACAAAAGAACATTTATGTACGATGGATTATATGACAACTAAACTAAAGGCTATATTATGAAATCTAATGTGAGTAAGCACCATGCATTATGGCTATCGCCCGTCCTCTGTAGGCATCACTTTTTTATCATCTCGCTTTTAACGGGAAGACCCAGTAAATGTTTGTGAAACCTTTTTATCGATAATTCCAGCGTTGGTGCCTCTTATCATTGTCTACATTATTACTATGAACATTACACACTCAGCTAGCCTCGACAGCCTCCGTGGTCTAGTGGTAGAGCGTCCGACCGGAGAGCGGAAGGTTCCGGAGAGCGGAAGGTCAGGGGTTCGATCCCCGGCCACGTCATACCAAAAGACTTTGGTCGCACGTCGCTATGTAAGTGCAATGATCTTGGACGCGACGTTAAACCCCATTTCACCTCACCTCAGCTAGCCTATTTGAAACGGTCATTTTGGACCACTTTATCTGATCTAATAGCTGCTTATGTCATTTCGCGTTATCCGTCCGTCTTAACAATGACAATATCTGCTCCGAAACCACAAGTGTTAAGGCGGCTTAGTGTACACAATGTTAACATTAGGGCCTCTAAAACTTACTCAACGAATTTGTATTTGACCTGATTATACATTTCATTAAGTGGCGTTTAGAAGTTGTAGTATCCGCGAAGACAGGGTAGACATATGGATTCTAACTTCTATGTTCTTGCAGTGCCACGTTTCGGTACAAATGCTGGTACTCTTACTTGATAAAGGTGCATTGTTCTAGCACCTGTACCGATATGAATAGATATTTTGAAATCCATAAGTTTGTTTCTTTGTTATTTAACGTCGCACCGAGAAGTATTCCAGTTGTATGAAGGTGGTCTGTATATAATAGAGTCTGGACCAGACAATCCAGTGATTGGCATGATAAACATCAATCTACGCGTAATTGGGATAAGATGACCTGCATCAACCAAGTCAGCGAGTCTGACACCCGATCCCGTTAGTCGCCTCTTGCGACAAGGAAAGGTCCATGAAGACAACCGAATTCTAAACTTGATCTTCATTGGCTAAACCCACAAGTCAGTTCGGTCTTTTTATTTGACACATATGTGTAGGTAATGGTAGCTGTACTAAATTGTTTATTCTCTTCCATTTCTGTAATACTTGCATGTCATACTTGGTATGACATTGATGCGCGGTGAGCATGTGGTTTGTGGAATATCATTTGTATGACAAACATCTTGTTTGGGTACCGTACAGGATGACTTCCTACTTGTCAAGCAGATGGCCAAGGGTTAATCTCCATCGTGTATGTTTAAGCGTGTATGTTGAATATATATCCGTACATCCAGCATTCGTTCACTTAAACAAATATGTAATTATCAATTAATAATGAGAATGAGCACTGTATTAAATATTGTCTTATTTGTCCAATTTCACATTAAACATTTCAGGGGGCACGGGTAACCCAGTCGTCTAAGGCGCCGCGATTCGTTGTGCAGAGTTGCGTCTCTTGGTCACGCCAGAAACCTATGATTGTGGGTTGCAAAAAAAATCCATATATACAAGCTTGTATATCCTTTGGAAAGATGATATTTCCAAAGGATATACAAGATTGGAAAGATGATATATACAAAATATACAAGTTTGTATATATGACATATACAAAATATACAAATTTGTATTTATGGTGCATCCAAATTTGTTTTGTTTGTATATATTGGTAAAGGGAGATAATTATTATGTATTTGTGTATAATTATGATATATGATATATGTGCAAATTGAAGTGTTTTAAGTTGAGCACTGTGTTTCTTTGTATATGTTGGTAAAGGAGGATAATTGCTATGTATTGCTCTATAAATGTTTTGTATGTGCAAAATAGTATCAGCAAGTTACAAAAAACTGATTTAGTGGCGGGTAACATTACTGGAAGGTTTAATTAGTACTCCACACTGTTAGCGGGAGTACATACTGTCCTTGCAATGATATTGACGGGTGGGCGGTTGAGGCGTCTGGTACTTTTCCTGGCGCGGTGCTTGGTATGTGAGTAGACAATGGTCAAATGCACAGAGGGGATTAGCTGTCGGGGGCGATTGCTTTGGCGGTAACTTCTGTATTGAAAGTGTTTGAGCTTGGATTTGTTTTACGGGGAGGCCGCGATGTGTTTTGTAACATGCTCTCGTGCACATATGCCAACAGAGTGGATTGCACAGAGGATGAAAACTATTTTATCACTACTTAAAAGTGTTGAATTTGGTTTGTTCTGAGCTGTCGGTTTCATTGTAGATATACATTGTTATAATGTGAAATCTCGGCGGAAACCCGGAAAATCGCGTTTTGTAAAACGGTAGTCCTTGGGGAAAATTGTATTATGAGCAACCGGATGCGTAAATAACGTGTGTAATATATTCCCGTATTATATTTTATAATACTTGTTCTTTAAATATTGTTATCAATGCGAGAACGAATATTACCTTGAAAAAACACAACAGCATGCATATGTTCTAGCAAAAGGAAACTTGATATATATTCATTTGGCTTAATTTCTACTTTGGAAAACTTAGTTGGCGCTCTAAAAGCTTGACGATGTATAATTTGTCACGCGCATGGTTGGGTGCAAACCATATGTACATCAATAATAATAGTAAAAATAATAATAATAATACATCATGATGGCAGTTTCAATGTAAAGATTAAGTATTTTTAAAGATATGGAAAATAAATCTTGATAACTGCTTTAATCTTTGATCTTTGGGAAAATAATAATGGAATTGGTTGAGTGACTAACGTATTCTACTTTAAAAGTGACAGGAACGTGATTTACATAATTAAAATATAGAATAATATACAAATTATAAGAGAGGGTTTGTGATTTATTTTGGGATGAAGTCAGTATTTAACTTGCGCTTTCCGACATTATGCGTATTTCGCACACGGTTAAGAAAAAAAATGCAATTCATTTATTTATAAAAAGTACGAATGCATCAATCCTACATCACAGGACCATGTACATAATTTGTTGAATGTTATTTCGTGAATACACGAATTGCATAACACATTCCCTGAGGACAAACCCAAATTGCCCGTCCCTTTGTGACAGGTGTTAATTAGAGAATGTATTGCCACCATATTATGTCCCGGCACTTTTATGACATGTAATGAACCTAGTCAATCCCTGGGTCTGTAACAACAACATGGGTCTAATAAAATCAAAGTAACATAAATGTTACGTAATTGGAATTAAAAAAGAGACTGAAAAAATGTAACATGAATATAATTGCCCTTTTGAGGGTAATATAATTTTGGGAAAATATACGTTTTCTTGTATTTATGGACGACTTCACACAAGCTGAAAAATTAAACATATGTTTCTATAGCTATATTTACATACATGGCATTAACATGTAATAATAATATTGATCATGTTTGTTAATTTGTACATTTCGTTGTTATTGGTATCCTGAGTATGTTGTAATAATGCATGTGTTCTGATCTTATTTGACGTAGATTACATGAACTAGTAGAGTGACTTTCTTTCATCAGCGTGGAAGGATTACCCACACATATACCCTTAATCCTTTGTCAAACAGAAAGAAGTCATATAGATATCATATCTAACTGGTACTAAAAGTTCACTATCAATCTCCTCTGATAACAAACTTACATTTAATATCCCCAAGCTACAATACCATGCATGCTCATGGAGTAATTATGAGAAACCCGAATGATATCCTGTCTACGTGGTCACACCCGGTGATTGTTAAGACATTCAGACAATATGGCAGTCTGTATTCATTTCTTATATCCCAAAAGTCCCCACCAAGCTTCCTTTTATTAACATTGGGATGAGGGGAGATATACATATTGTATTAAATAATACATCAATACATCAAAACAGAACAAAAAAGATAGGTCAACAGTGCGGTTGATGGAAAGGGGTTTCCTAAGAAAAGTTATTTAACTCTTTAATACTTAATACGTGTCTCAAAGTATGTATTAAGTCTTACTACTAGTTATTATATATGTGCAAATCCACCCGAACGTCGGATGTACATGGCCGATTTCAAAATAGCTAAATTAGGCACTGTTCAAATTGTTTCCAATAAACCACTGATTAGAAACTCACTTAACCTTTAGAATAGAATCGTTTCTAAATATATTGTAGTTGGGGCATGTGTAAAAATTAATGCAGTGTACCATTGTGACAGCCACAAGAGCATGCATGATGTGTTATCTGAGATGTGTTTTTTAAGCCGATGGAAGTTTAAAGTG